ATGCCACCATGCATATAAAGCTGGACGAAAGCACAAAAACTAATCCCATAAGACTACAACTAGGATTAAGACAAGGAGACACCATCTCTCCCAAACTATTTACCCTTGCTCTAGAAGACATTTTTAAGAAACTAGAATGGAACAACAAGGGTATCAACGTCGACGGATCATATTTAAACTACTTGAGATTCGCAGATGACATAGTTTTAATAGTCGATATTATCCAAGAACTAAATGATATGTTACAACAATTAAATACAGTTTCACCAGCGGTAAGCTTAAAAATGAACTACAGTAAAACAAAAATAACCAAATACTACAATAAAAGGATGATGTAAAATACTTAGGTATGCAACTGGACCGCAGATTAACGTGGAAGAAACACATATTCAACACATATTCACGAAAAGAAAACAGTTAGGCATGAAACTCTGTAAAATGTACTGACTAGTAGGAAAAAGATCACAACTGAATTTGTACAATAAAATCCTAGTAAACAAGTCAGGGATAAAGCCAATATGGAGCTATGGGATCCAACTGTTGGGGTCTGCGTCAAGATCCAATATCGACGTACTGGAGAGACTCCAATCGATGGCCTTCCGCATTATCACAATTGCACCGTGGTACATGCCCAATGAATTCATCAATCGCGATCTTCAGATGAAAACTGTGAAAGAAAAAATTGCCAGTTATTCCTAAAAATATGACAGACGACTGCAAAACCACCCCAACAGACTAGCGAAGAACCTTATGATGCCCCAGGCAAACAGAAGGCTAAAGCGTCTTACTCCAAGCGATCTACCAACAAAATTTTAAATTTTTATATACAGGGTGAGTCATGAGGAACTTTACATACTTCTACCATATGTAGAGTCCCTCAGGGAGCATATCATGTGGCCACTTAAAAAATGTCAACTCCTCTTCTTTATTAATTAACAGGGTGATTTGTGTAATTGACCATTTATTTCATTTTACTGTAGTGTTTATACGGCTCATTTGATTTTTTTTAATTTTTGCATGATACAGTACACTACTATTAAGCATTTCGACTGGTATTAGCTAAACTAAAAAATTCTAGGACTGGCTTTGGAAAAATTAATTTAGGGATTCGTATTAAATAACTACATAAATAGCCAATGAAAACGACATATGCGACAATGTTGTCGCACTTTTATTAAATTTTTAGTGAACGATCAAATCTTACCAAAAATAGAACAACCATAATGAAGTATCAAATTATAAGGTATTAATTTAAACAAATGTTATAAATTTCAAACATTTGGTACATATGGTAGAAGTATGTAAAGTTCCTCATGACTCACCCTGTATTTAAAAAAATTTTCTGTTTATTATAAATATTATATGAGAGTCACTGCAAGTCTCTTGTAATCTAATTAAACAATTTACTTATTGTAATCCTTATTAGGTACAGATTGTAAATAAATGAGATGTTAAAAAAATGATATTTTTTCGGTTTCTGCAAAATTTTAATAAGTGGAGAATGCAACTTTTGCTGTTTATCCCCTCAAAGCATTTCTTATTTCAATATCTACAAACGGAGGTTTTAATACATATTCATATCATTGATACATAAAATACAAAATATATTTCTACCAACAAACTTGTCTCATATTCATATTTTTTTAATTATTGGCTTGTTTGTAGACTTTTATGATGTAGACTATTTTATTTACATAACAAAAATGTAAATTTTTTACTGCTGTCAATGTTGCCATTAATTTTCTATCTAATTCGCGTTAGTCTAGCGTCTTGAATAATCTACATATATAAACATTATTTGTTCTAAAAGCAAACATGCCATTAATTTATGCCAAAAATTGTCTGCGACATCGTATTCAAAGCTTATTTATTGTACAATAACACTTCAAATCATGTGTTACGTTTGTGTTCTTATCTAATTAGGTCAAACTTCTTTATTAAATAAACCAAAACTTTACACGTTGTTATTCAAAAGCGATAACTTAAAATTAAACAGTGTACGGGATTTCGAAGGAAGGGGCAACAATGTATGAATAAACTTGTATAAATGGTGTGAAAACCATAGACATTGTATTATGTAAATGACATAATAAAATATCTATGGTGAAAATACCTCAACCAAACTGACAGATCTTAAAATCTCTATATTTCAAAATCAAATTTCTATAATTCATTTTTAGGTTATATGTTAGTCGTCAGCATCGAGCAATAAGACAAAAGAGGGAATCTAATCGTTATAAAAAGGAGACCAAAAAAGTGGCCTCTGATGGCGGACACATCCGGAAATGCAAAGGCGCTAAATTTAAATTTTCCAACACTTGTTAACAATACCTGTAAAATATTTTTCAGACAAGAAAGTTTTAATTAAATATCAACGATAATAGTCTAAAAAGTGACATAATTGGTAAAAAACTTCAATATAAATAAAATTTCATGTGACAGTTGGGACAAACAATAACATAACCAAACTAAATTTGACTTCTTAAACAAGGAAAGAGACTGCCTTTCCTTGTCTAAAGTGGCCTCTCAAGATGGCACTTCCTGTCTATCAATATGTTTACCCCTTCTACCTTACATTCCCTCTTTTGTCTTATTGCTCGATGGTCGTCAGAGACCATAGATATGTAATACAAGCTAGACTGATCGTTGCAATTTTAGCCCACCCGTTCCTCCAGTGCGACAGAAACAACTGACGCTAAGCAGTCCCTGCATATCTTTCTAATTTGCTAGGTTTATCGACCATGTAACCTAAATGACCAATGAGAAAGTTATGTGGTCGATAAACCCGGCCCGGTATTACTTGGTCAAAATCTAAAACTATGAAAAAATGTAAATGTCCCGTTCTAGACCACCGTTTATATGTCCAAAAATATAATATAATTAAACCCAAATATAAACAATTACATAACCTCACAAATCATATGTCTGTGTTATGTGTTTCCTTCTAAAACATGGCGCACGTGCTGAAAAACTTCAAAGGCGGTATCTGAGAGTGGGCATTCTGATTATTTATTATTCTGTGGCACTGTAAAAGATGAAAGTTGACCAACTCTTCCGTTACAGTGCGTTTCGCTTACGTCCCGTCATGCGTTTACGTTCATTTATAAATAAAATAATAGTACACAAAAGTCTATGTTGATCTTTTTCCAGTGCGTCTGCGTCTACAGTCCGTCAAACTATAAATCCAGCTTTTACACTTGTGACAGGATAAAACATAGACACAAAACAATTTTGAATTAATTATTTGTGTTTTTAAGTGTTACGTCTACAGAAATCGCACAGGAAATAGTCGTCTTCTTCATCTGCATTTGTACATGCGTCGTGGGCCCAACCAGAGCATCCTGATCACTGAATCCACCTTTCTATGTACTTAGAAGCAGAGAAAATATCACTGCAAAATATTAAAGCCTCATCACTGCCCCCTTCTTCAGATGAGGAAGACTCGTTCTGGTTTTCGAACTTCATTATCTTTAATGTGGGACCAACATCAGTTTTTGGAAGGTTTTCTTTATCGCTACTGTTGGTACAAATTATCCAAACTGGGTAATTTGAGACATGAGGTACTTCCTTGACCATCTTGTTCAGGCATGAACACTGGCGTTTGAAGAGTAGGACAGTTGTTTGATGTCGAAAGAAGGTTAGGTTGGTGATTTTGATTTAAGGGTCTCTCCGTTGTTTCTGCTGGTGCAAATAGGCTATCAGGAAACACGTCACGGTTAAAAGGATATATACCAGTTGTCTCAAAGCCCTTAACGCCTGTTTGAACTGGTGCTGCTCCTTAAAAACCAGCACCGTAAAGTTTTGCGACTTGTGCAATTGTGACCGCTCGTCCGAGATTATTGATCAACCATTTTCTGAGTTCTTTGAACATCTAATTCAGCTTTCAGTAATCGCCGCTAAAGGAGCAAGTGTTGCAAAAGGCGTTACAAATTACAAAAATACAATAGTATCTTATAGACGTCTGATTTTGGGGATAGCTAGTTATACATTATAGGTACAGTCAAATCTAATTGATAGGTACAATTTATCAATATTATTGATCGACGACGGATTATAACGACACTTTCTTTAAGCATCGATATAAAGCTTTACCACAGAATAATAAAACAATTTTGTTATTCATTCTGTGACTGAACTATCATAAAACATTTTCAAGTTCGTAAAATACGCCATTTTGAGAAAGGGGTAGTTGTATAATCTGCAGTACCTAACATAATGATTTTGTAATACTGTATTACATTATCGTAAAAATAAGATTTCAGATAAGAAATTTCACTAGTATTCAAAATATTATTATGAACGCATGAATTACTAATTTTTTTACTATCATGTCAATATGTTTTCTCATTGATTCTAAAAATAAACTTCGAAGAGAATATCATTTTATGTAACTTTTGCACTTAAAATTTTCCATCAGATTATTTTTAAACAGAAAGTTGCTTATAAAATTAAACACTAATACATTGTTATTGATTTATATCCAATTATAACCTAATAATTCACAATTAATATTCATGAAGTTAAGAATTTGAACAGGAATAAATATGGCATTCAACATATTATTTTGTCTAGCTTTGGTCTTACTTATTTTTCAAAGTTCTTGCTATATCAAAGATACTTTTACCTATTATCTAACCTTCATGTATTCGTTATAAATTCCGTTTTTTGCATTATACGTTTATTTGATGCTGAATAGGGTCCAGAAACATTAAGAAATTTTAAATTGTCTCTTAAGATAACCCGAAGACCTTTAGATTTGTACATATTTCATATTTCCTACTAGTTTCAAGATAGATTTGTTACAAAATATTTGTAAATTATTGCTTTGATGTCGTTACAGAAGCTGTATTATATCAAATGATTATGACTGTAACATGTAACTTGACAAAAAAAAGAAATTAAAAAATTATTGAATAAGGAAATACCGAAAAACATACATTGATTATCGTAATAGTGGTTGCATATGCATCAGATATAAAAACTGAATAAAAATAAAAACTAACAAAATAAACGATTCTATTATGGACTCTAAAATTTATTACTAAGATATTTTCATGCAACGATTTGCATGTAAACTATTTTGTATAAGACTTTATTGGCATGTTTTAACTATATGTAATATAATTTTATTAACCATACTATTTTTTGTACAAAAACTGTCAAGAAGAATCAGACAGAATCTTAACCTGCATTCAAGCTGTCAAAATTTTAAAACTAAGTTTATAAATTAGTTATTTGCCGCCAATATTATTATTAAAATGAATAAATTGAAAATAAAAACAAAAATACTACATTAAATTGAACCAATATTTTTTTATGTTTAATATGGATGAAACAAGTAAGTATAAAATATGTAGATAATATAAGAAAATTATGGAAATAAACATTAAAAATATTTTTTTGATTTTTATTTGTTTAATCAGCTTTTATTTTCTTTTATACATGTTTTTCGCATTAATATTCGATAAAACAATTTCCGTTCTTGTAAGAATTTGGTAATAGTTATGTCATGTTCTTCAGAACTTCAAAAACGCAAAAGAAAAGCTCAAAATGAAGGCAACAATAGGCTCCTGGTTTCAACTTGTGCAGATCTCTCAGATATTTACATGAAGAGTGGCCGATTTCAACAGGCTATTGAAGAATTTGAGACCCTTGCAGAGATCTACAAATTAGAACACAATCAGATTGAGTATGGCAAAGCGAACAGAGGTATAGGGGAAGCATATTTGGGGCTCCATAATTTTAAAAAAGCTTTAGAACATCAGAAAATATATCTCAGTAAGTATTACATGAAAATTTGATATGACACAACTACTATGTCTATTCAATATTATTTTCTATTACAGATAAAGCAGTGTCTGAAAAAAATAATGCTGAGATCCAGAGGGCATACGCTACTATTGGTCATATTTATCTAACTACATATTTAGAGACTCAAACAGATGCTGATCAAAATTTGAACAATGCTTACAAATATTTTATGAAAAGTATGAAAGTTTGTGAAAGGTTTGTTTATTTTTAACAAGTTTTATATTATTTGTATTGCTATTACCTGTTTTACATTGTGTAAATAAAGTGTAGTAAACAGTGTCTAACTGTTTTATTCTAAATTTGTATCAAAAACAAGCTGTGCAATCACTTAACTGTGAAATATCAATTTCGTCTTATGAAATTTATATACTTTGGTGATTGTTGTCCTTTACTAGTTAATAGTTACATTGTTGATTATTTGATAGCATTTTATTTCTATTTGAGATGCGTTCAAGCTCAATGCTGTAATTATACTGTAGGTATAAGCTTATGATTTTTATGACTGATTTTCCATTATATTTTTAGTTTGACTACCATAAACAAATTGGAAAAGGCTGATATGAAAGCAAGGTTATTTTCAAATCTCGGCTTGGTCAAAGAGAGTTTAGGCGATTATAATAAGGCAATTGAGTTACTTACAACATCTATCAACATCTGTAAGACTGACGATATCTATGAACAACTAAGTAGGGGTTACATGTCGTTAGCTGCTTTGTATGATAAGAAAGGAGAAACAAGTAAAACTATGCATCATTACAATTTAGCGATAGAAGCTGCAAGTGAGTATTTGTTTTCTATTTGTCTACTCATTTTCTTACAATATACTATCGTTCCATCATGTTTGGAGCCTACTCTTGATACACATGATTCTAGTATTCCCATATTACCATTTGTATCTTACACCTTACTATATGATTAATTTGTAAATGTTTAACGTCATGAATGTTCTATTATAATCTAATACCCTATTCTATATATTTGTCGACAGAAGCCTAACCTTATCTCTTCCTTCTTCTTACAGTACAGATATGCTCCAGATACTGGCTATTAACATGACTATAATTATTTTGCTGGCAGCTATTCAGAATGTTCTGGTTGTTAATTGTTGTTGTAACATTTTCATGGATTCTGGAGCCAAGAAATTCTTCTCCTATATCCTCTTTCAATACACTTTACCCACAAGAACAGGTTGTAATAAACCATGTATCACTTACTTCTCATAATACGACCCAGATATTCTAATTTAAACTCTTTATGTGATTTCCCCAAAAGAGTAAACTTATATTTGGCATATATTTCTTAGCAGAACTAGATCCAATTTAATTAGAATAAGAGAAACCACCCATTTTCAGCTGTTTATGTTTTATTTCTTTCTCTATAGAAAAACTAAAGGACAACATAGATCTGATGTGTACAGCGTTGCATACAAAAGCTGAAGCTCTAATAAAATTAGGAGATTTCCATGCAGCTAAAAAGACGCTATACAAAGCCTACAAACTTAAGAGTCCAAACATTGAAGATAGAAGAATGATAGAGAAATATTTGAGGGCAGGTAAGTTTAGGTCAAGTTAGGTTATGTTAGGCTAACTTAAAATCAAAGACATATAATACACGATAGACAGATTGCTGCAATACAGGAGATGCAGGAGCTGTTTTGCATCAGTTTCCTCTATTGCACAGGGGAACAGGCTAGTATTGCAACGATCAGTGTATTTTCTATTATATGTCTATGCTTAAAATAATTATTAAACAACCATATTATATTCGCAAAAGCTTCAGAGGATAATATGTCAGTTCTTTTTGTACAAAGATCTCACAGCTTCATGTGCCAGAGACAAGTAGTGATTTTTCTGATCTAAGAAGAAAAAGAGGGAAGTCAGTTTTGAGTAAACATTATTGGTTTTGCAGAGTCAGGCTTTTAATCGCTTTACAAGGACCTTATCATTTTTCATCATCACCATTGGTGCTACAGCCCTATAAAAGAGCTTTGAACTTTCGAAGTCAATTACGAAAGTCAGTTCTATCCATTGCCATTGGATGTTATCCATATTCCTAAGTATTTATAGTTATTAACACTCTCAATTGCAATATCTTCAATAGTCAATTGGATATTTGCATGTGCAGATTTAGTCATGATTATGCATTTAGTTTTCTTTAAATTTATCTTCAGTCCGTACTCATGACAGCATTCGTTAAGGTGTTGCATTACGTTCTGTAAATTATTGTTGTTATCCGTCATTATTACTGTATCGTCTGCAAAACGTAAGTTATTCAAAACTTCTCAGTAAGTTATTCAAATGAAAATTAGATATAATTTTCATATCACGACTGTCAATATTTTTGCTTTTTAATATATCTACAAGCTGTTTATGTTGAACCTTATCAAATGCCTTTTCAAAGTCTACAAAACATAAGTAACTACGTACATGTCCTATCCAATAATATTTATTATTAGCATTTATAATTTTTTTTTATAAATTTGGATGCAATTAATCTGTTTTAGTTGCAACTATGTGTTATGCTGAAGATAAACTTGTGGTAGAGACCAATGACAACAGAGATTTGCAAAAACTCTATGAAACGATGGGCGACAGCGCGTGCATCGTTAAAAACTTTTCAAAAGCTATCGAATACTATAAATTAATGTTGAGTTACGCTGAAAAAAGTGGTGTGAGTGGAAAGAGTTGGCGACTTACTACAATTCCTTGGCGCAAACTTACGAAGATAACAAAATGTTTAAAGAGGCTGTACAATACTTCGAAAAAGAGTTCGAGTTAAGAGATAATATTAAGGACGCGCTAGATGCTATGAGTAAAATAGCAGATAATAAAGAGTCTGCAGAGGAGTCTATGGGTGAAGTTGTTGAGGTTTATAACAAGGCAATAAAGTATTGTCAAGAAAAAAATAATTTGAAAGAGGAACGAAGAATGATTGCAAGGTTTGTATTGTATTTTTATTTTATTCTTTTTAGTTGTCCTTATTTAAATTATTCTTGATCATTCTATAGCGTTCTTTCTAATATTCATGAATCATTTAAGTATTCTGTTAATATTATTTATTGTCTCTTGATACAAGGTAATGTATGTGTTTGTAGGTGTATCAAATATTTACAACGCATTGGAATGACCTCTGAAGTCTGTAGATACCAACAAAAACTAAACGCCTTAAAGATTCCTGACAAGGACGATGATAGTTCTTCATCTGAGTGTGAAAGTCATGACTCCAGCGTAATGGATGATAAAGAAAATTGTGTTAACCTGGACGATATTACAGGTAAGTAGATACAAGGTTCGTTCTAGGCCACTTGAATGTTATAGGACACCAAGATAGCGGCAATCAAAATTCAAGCTAACGTATTATGGTGTCTCAAGGCCACATCCTTGAGAAAAAGTCATCTTACAAAATCAAAATAAGAAGATAGATAAAAAGAATCGTCAAAAAGCTCCGGAAGCCTCTAAAAGTGTGGAAGAAGCGTTGGATGCAATGAGAGGTTGTCATAAGATTGTTGAAGTTAAAAAAAAATAGTGAAAATAGCGTCGAAAATGAGGCGACAATGTCAAAAAATCAATTGAATGTATTACATGAAATCAAAAAAGAATCAACAATTGTCAAAAAAGTTGAAACCGTTGGTACATTGTCGAAAGCCTACGTGTTTGGCGGTTTTCGAGTGTTTTTACTCCATTTTGCTCTTTTACTCCACAACTTGGTTGTTTTTTGTATTCAGAAGGCACAGATCAAAGTACCCTGAAGTGTCTACCTATCTACTACTTCATTTATATTTTCTGTACATTCTGTATTTTCGTTTGGCTTCTTGTCTTCTGATACAAGTCAAACGTTTTGGTTTATCACATGACCATTCAGTTTTTATTGATTTTGACGTGACAATCTAATATTTTAACAGATTCAGACGATTCGGAAGAAGAAGAACAACCAATAAACCCGTCCGTAGCAGTGGTAGGCAAAAGACGATCAAAAAATTTTGCCGTCAAGAAAAACGCCAAAGGGGAATCCCAACTGCACGTCGCTTGCATCAACGGAAAGATTCCAGTCGTCAAGCATCTTCTAGACCAAGGACATCCCGTGAATCTTAGAGACAACACCGGTTGGCTGCCACTACACGAAGCTTGCAATCACGGTTTCTACGAAATCGTCAAACTTCTATTGGACAAAGGAGCCTCGATCAATGACAGGGGAGGAGTGAAATGTGAAGGTGAGTTGGAATTTAAAAATTGGGTAATTATTTATTTAAGTGGCTCGCCTCAAAAATGCTCAATGTTTTGGGGAATTTACCGACAAATGAAATAAAGCTCAAAAATATTTTATTTGGTGAACATTTTGTTGTTCGTGGACATTTTGTAGTTCGTTAACTTTCGGTGGTAAGCCACTATATATTTATTTCTTTATTAGCACACAAATCCACTTCTCAATTATCATTTTTGCCGGTTACATCTGTTGGAAGTCCGAACTGGAGAAGGTAGACTTGCCTTGTTGCGAAATTTATTATTTAGTACCGTTGCAGCTTATCCGTGCCATTGAGTTATACCCTGAGGGCCAATAGAGAGACAGGGGGACACTTATTTCTTTTCGAAAGTAATATTCTTAATGCATTACGGCAACATTGTGAAAACTATCCCACAAATAACCATTAAAATCAGGTGCCTGGTAGTATTTCATGAGCATACCGTCGGGTAACATCATGGCATCAAAACCAATGTGCAGTACATCTGTTAATAAACAAAATAAAAAAAAGTGGTTATCTGTGAGGGAAAAGGAAATGATAAAATCGGTTTATGAGGGATTGCGTAGATGATATCAAGATATGCTTATAGAGGACGTCGCAGCATTGTTTGGAGATTTAACGAAAGTATCGGCTCGTACGGTTTTCCGAATAATTCAAGGTAACAAACCTTCATGGAACAAAAGTTTATGGATTTTATTTTAGGAACAAATTGCCCACGTTAAAGGCAACGAGAAGTTAATGCAGAAGCAGATGATTACTTTAAATAGAATATCCATGAGAGTATTACAAAGAACTTTACATGAAATGGACTTTTGGTATGTGAAGAGAAATCAGAAAAGTTTATTGATCGAAAGAGACGAATTAGTGATATAGCGGAGAAAATATTTGCAAAAAATTCGTGATTTTAGACGACTTGGTAAAAAAATTTATTATACGGACGAAACGTGGTTGAATGAGGATCATAACGAAATCACAAAGTATGGCAAAACTTAAATATTAAAAAAGCGCTACAGGCTTTCATTGAGGAACTTTCAACCGGTCCAAAAGCATCTTCGGACAAAGGAAGACGTCTGATTATAACGCACATTGGAAGTGATTCAGGTTTTTTATAAGGTGGTTTAAATGTGTTTACTTCAATCAAAACGGGCGATTATCATAAGGATATGAATTTGAAAAGTGGTTTTCGTCTATACGGACTCTTGTATATCCTGGTTCGGTAATTATAATGGACAATGCACCTTATCACAGCCGTCGTATGGAAAAAATACCGACTTCTGCATCTGGAATGGCAGATCTAATAGATTGGTAAAGAAATAAAAATATAGATTTTGATGAATCCATGATAAAGGTTCAATTACTTGATATAGTGCGCGAACATAAGAGTTCATACATCAGATTTGCAGTAGACGAAATGGCATGTAAGCATGGCATCGCCGTATTAAGAACTCCACCGTATCATTGTGAATTGAATCCCATCGAGCTGATATGGGCACAAATAAAACATGAGGTAGCGCAACAGAATAAAACCTTTAAATTAAAAGATGTCAAATTATTATTAGACCAAGCCATACAAAACATAACCGCTTTCAACTCGCAGTCATGCATTAAACATACACAGAAAGAAGAAGATAAAATGTGGGACGTAGACACGCGAGTTGATGTTCTTGTCGAGCCCATTATCATTACTCCAGGAGAAGACAGTAATGATAGTGAATTAACAACAGGTAGTGATTCAGAATAAAAATATTTCTTTAAAATAATAACTAATAGGTACAGTTCTAGTGATTTTTTTCTTGCTACATTTGGAGACTACCTGTAAGATCCTTCGTCCTACCTGGTTATAATTTTCTAAGTAGGTATGTACCTAATAACTTTATTATTATTATTATGGCAAGTTTGTTTTTCACAATTGCAGTTTACATTATGTTGCTGGGTCTAGAATTAATATTTCCTGCAAAGCAGTTGGTATTTATATTTGAAATATAGAATTTTGATTTCGGAAAACAACCTTGAAGATACAAGGTTGTTTCGGGAATTCTATTATTTTGATTCGTATTTATCGTATTTAATTGGAAATTCCCAGGGTTTTTCAAAAGGTTAATCTAACAATTCATCTAAAGTTTGATGTCTTAATGGTGGAAAATTTTATAAAAACGCAGTGGAAGATATTCTATTTGGGAAATGCAAGGCGATACAATAGTTATTAGTTATTCTTACGTTTATTACTAAAAGTTTCGTTTATATTTAGATAAAGATCAGATAAAGATATTTATAAATGATAGGTTTTGTTTATTACAAATTATTACGAACCAGAAGTATATTCGTAACATTTCATTATTATAAGGGAAGAATGTTTTGGATTTAAAATATAATAAACTTAGCATCTCGACACCGTAAGGTAAAAGAGGACGGCTTAAGTAAGTAAGTAAGTATAATTTAGCATTTGAGATGTTGTAAAATAAACATGTACATATTTCTTAAACTAAAAATAATATAAATGAATGAAAATATTGTGTGTACATCTGGCTTACACAATTAATTGTTAAGACGTAATATTTTGAATATAATATTTTTACATAACATTTTAACAAAATATATTTAACATAAATTAACAATTTGACCGTTGACGCAAAAATATTTTTATGTGCAAGTTCCCTATTATTTCCCTTATTTTAAAAATATACACGCCACCATTGAACTACACGCGTCATCTCGGACTCGTCGAGGGTCTATCATTTATAAGCGATAACCTGACTATCCTATTGAATTCCGACTATAGTAAAAGAGCCAAAAAATCAAGAAATACAAAAAAAGTAATAGAATAACCAAAAAAAAATATGTCATCGTCTTTAAAGTGACGATTTTGTCACAAAAGTTGATCACCTTGCATATTTTCGTTTTCAGGCATTACTCCCATCTTTGACGCCGCCAACAACGGCCATTTAAGAATAGTCCAACTGCTTTTGGACCGAGGAGCGTCACTAACTATCAAGTCGGACAATGGAGACACGCCTTTAAACGTTTTGAAAGTGTGGCACCAGAGGTATCCTTTCGTAGGCGAAGACTACGAGCTGTACAAAACAGTTGTGGCCAAAATGACGGAAGCCCTAAAAAAGGTCGGAGAGAACGTGTCATCAAATGTAGTTGTGCACGAGCCAGTCAGCGGTGAATCTGAAGAGGTTGTTTTTTCGGAGAAATCTGATGATGAGATCGAATCAGATCGTGATTCGGATAGTAGCTCAAGTAAGTGTTATTAATTTTTTAATTTTTATTGATATTGTGCTCCTGTTACAAAAGTTTTTCAACCTATTTGTTTACCATATACATATGGTCCTTTCGTCGGATTGTGGACATTTCAAACCGCAAGGAGCGAGTTTAAAGCGTTGTCAAGAAGTTCGCTAACTTCCTTTTCGGCATCATTAAACGTCTTACTAACAAAATAGAATAGTTTTTAACTACTGTCATTAAAATTGTGCGAAATAACAAATTCGATCCCATAATCTGCAAAATCAACACTTAAATTTGCAATCTCATTAACAGTCCTTATTACAGTGCCAAACTATATTCTGTTTTAAAAGTTTATAACAGTGATAAAATAGTTACAAATCACTTACAATAGAGAAAACTCTTTGATTTAATTCTGACTTTACTTTTCGTAGCTAACAGCCCTTTGAGACAATCTTCTGGTCCAAATCTTCTAAATGAATACCAAGAAATTATGAAACATTTGGGAAAGAAGTCATCTACCACCAAAACAATGGAGATTAATTCAAACGTTAGAAGAAGTCAGCTTTATTAAGGGAAAAAGACGTCTCCTTTGATGACTGGTTGGAAGATGATTTTCAGCTGGCGAAGGCTACCAAGAAACAAAAGACTAGTTTAACGGAAGCTGTGGTTACGTCTTCTACTAGGAAGCGGAGTTCAGATTCACCGAGAAATAATTCACGTAAGTAATTTTGATGTTTTATTTTAGATACGAATTGTATTCTTTTATTTGCTCCACAATAATATCAAGACAATTATCGTTATATTTCAGAAGTAAATAGTGATGCCAAAAAATATTTTAACAGTATTTCTTTCTTTATTCTTAGCCAAAAGGCTCGCAATTGGATGGAGAAAAATTACTCTTAAGAGCACTGTTCCAGATTTTCCACTGCCCACACAGATTTTCCACTGATAGAGTGAAGAAACACTCGTTCATTCATCCCTTTCTATTCATTCTCGTTGTCCTCGATATACACGGCAATCTACATTGAGCAATGACATCTGGTCTAAGCCATATGTGAAAATACTTATCCACGATAGTCATTACATTAACTGTCCACTCCCCTTTCTTATAGCTACGTATCAGAAATAAACAACTAGTTTCAGTCAGTTCCCAAGGGATCAAAATCTTTCCGACCACTTTCTGGTACCTCGACGCATTCATGTCATGATTAATACTGACCCAACGACTATTACCGAGCTTGGTCACCGTCCATCCACGCCAAGAGATCAACAGCTCATTGTGTAGAGCAGGTGGACTTGAGCTGATTCACCAATGCCAAGGTCTCTGTTCATATTGGAGACGATTTTATGCGTATATCTACACCACTATCTATATATTAACTAGATCGGGAATGTGTCTTGTTATGGTGATCTAGCCAATTAGTGGATGTTGGCGACAATTCTGGCATACTTCTCTCGATCTTGTGTGTCTCTAAAGAGTGTATGGGCATCGAGGTTTGTCCAATCCCTTAGGTTTTTAAGTCATGAGTATTTATCTCTTTCGATGCCACGTTTTCCTTCTATCTTCCCTTCCATAATAAGCTTTAAGAACTGGTACTTGTCAATGTCACTGTCAATGAAAATTATAAACGTCAAAATTTACAGTAAACAAGGTATCAAAGACATGCCATATTGTTGATCCTTGTTTAACTCATTGTGATTTCTATGGACAAGCGGTTTAATTTTGCAATACTAGTTTCTGTGATTAAAAAAGAGACCTAGTATAAAAAGTAATTCGTGAATAATGTCATGCATGGGAAAAGATAGAGTGGACATACTTTATCACTAGAACCAACTTCAGACTTGTTTTTCTCAATAGGTTTTTGTCATGATACTATGAACTAAAGATAAACCCACGCGCACGCGATCAGTCTATCTCTTTTGCACGTGTGACGTCACTTGGCGACAAAAATATCACCAGAAATGTTCTGTTTTTCATGGAGTTTTGTCAGATTTAGTATTGTTTTATCGTTTATCTAGTACGTTGACAAATAAATGTGTGCACTTTATATAAAATATATTTCAGAATATTAAATTAAAGATAAACTTTTATCGCCAAGTGACGTCATGCGCATCGACGTACAAAATTCGATTGCGAAGTGGTTGTATCTTGGAAGTCATAGTATCATGGGTTTTTGTTCGATCATTCTGGGCTGTTCTATTGCATAGCTATACTGTGTTTTGCGTACATATTATTTGTTACAATATTTTTACTCTATCTGTACATAAATAAAAAACTTTTGATCCTCTCGTGTAATTTTTAAGTCTGAGTGAAGAATATACCTCATATTTACTTATTACTGTATTGAAGTAGATTGTAAATTAGCAATAAATAAATAAATAAAATAATAATAATAATATTTATGTTTTAATGATGTAGCCAGGAAAAGGTCGAGTGACGAGAACCGTCAAATCAGTGACATCATCACCATGAGCTCGTCATCGCCCAGTCCCACAAGAAGAATATTCACACCTACCAATATCCAGAAAAATAGTGCCAAAAGAAAAATCCAGACATCATTAATAGATTCCGGTATCAGTAAAACTATCAACAGTGTTAAACACAAACCACCTCAGACATTGCAAAGACACCGTAGCCTGGAAAATATAAAACAGTCTAAAATCACCACTTTCGGAAGCAGTAAGAGCTCCATGGAACCAGATTCCACCATGTCATCTCCGAATAAGTTGACATATACTCAAATTCCAGTCGTTCAAGATGTTACACCGAATGTTCCAGTCGCTCATGCCATTTCTACCGGAGACTTGATGGTTTTTGTGGACGTTAAAGTAGAGGGCAAAGTTTTTCGAGTACCTGTATTATTGGCACAAGTACAGACCAATACTATTGGATGGTTAGCCGAACAGGCAGCCCTAAAGTACGCAAGGTAAGTAAATAGATGTACAAAGGTACGAAAGTTTCACGTAATAATTGTATATTTTCTGTAGACTAGCTGTAGCCAGTTTCGTCTGCATTACATGCAACATTAACACTATAATAGAATGTCAAACTGATAACAATGTTGTTACTTGTTTATTTGTTTTTTAATAAAAAAAATTTTCTTTACTAGCGCCATCTCGTGAGTTAATTGAGAAACTAATGTGACATTTTTGTGAACTATTTGTGTTTTGTATATTTAATACGTATTTTTCTTAGCTGGTATACTCCTTTATGAATATAAAAGGTGATCGAACACCAGATTTTACCTTTATCATTTGTTGGTTGTTGATAAATTGATATTTATATTTCAGGAAAGAATGTTCAAAACCTCAGTTAGAACTCGAAACGACGACTGGTGCATTGCTGTCAGATGAAGACCCCTTAAGCTTGTTATTTCCGCTAGGTACGACCCAAGCTGAACCAGTCGTTGGAAAAATTGTTAAACTTTTCGAGACGCCCTGGTTGGTAAATATAGAGAGGCCTGTTCGCACATGAAAGAAGGTATTAACTGTTTAGTAAAAGTATTGAATATTTTTTTTGAGTAGGTCTTTTCCTCTTAAGGGGACAGTCTCATGCGATTCAAAAAAAGACACATTTTAAAATTAAAGCAGAAAAAAAAACTATAATATTTATTAACATAATTCCTTTTGGAGATGATTAATTAAGTCTTGAAGAACATAAAAAAAATTTTAATAGTGATTTTAACTTCATTGCTGTCCTGTAGATGGCGTGTAGTAAAAAGTGCGTTTTTGGTGGTAAAACACTTTGCGGGTCACCTGTAACAGATATTCAAAAAATTCAAAATGGGTTGTATTCGTGAGACTCAAAACTAGATGATAAACCTTTAAAATATGCAAATTGTATTATTTTGACGAGTTTATACGAATTTTTTCAAAAAAGTCGAAAAATCGCTATATTTTTCGGTGGATTTACCCATATATAATAAAAGGGGTGGTGGTTTTTAAATATTTTAAAGGTTTATTATCTAGTATTTTGTATATACATTCGAAAAATTTTTGGTTTTTTAAAATCGGTTAAGAAGGTTCAGAGAAAAGTGTCTGACCAGTTTAAAAATGTTACTTTTGAGAAAAAAGCATTTAAAGTTTTTTTTTACATAATTTTCGTGAATAAAAGGCTGATAACTTTATACTCACGTTTAATCGGCCATTCCTGGTGAATATTGAGGACCCTCTTCATCCAACAGTTGTTGTAAATGGCATTGTAAAGCTGTAAATTTTAATACAACATCGCGATGTTTTATAATTAATTCATTTGTTCGACTGGAGTCTCAATTCACGCCGCGATGCTGCCAGTGTAAGTGTAAAAAACGGAACACACCTAGATCGCATGTCAATTCAACGAAAACGTACTTATTTATAAATGTAGATATGAAAATATTTTATAACTAAAAAAATGGTTATGTTTTATTGCCAAAACGGCTTGAAAAAAAAGTTGATTTCTAAAATTAAAAATAAAAAGGAATTTTAAAAATAATAATGTTAATAAAACATTATTTATTATCTGCACAAAACCGGAACTTTCAGGAAAAATCGGTAGACGGAGCAACACTGTCGGCGTGCCATATACGAACCTACTATAAACCGCAGAGGAGAAATAATCCAGTGCCAGTGGAACAAATAAATTAGTTATAAAACATCGCGACGTTATAAAGAAATTTACACTGGTTAATTGCAACGCAGAGAATCTTGGTATTTGTAAAAAATCCTATGTTCCGGATTTAAAATTCCAAATGTGTATAGTAACTACCAAACGTTATACAGATATCTTCTTCTTAGTCGTTAACCTGATGCAGCTATCGTGATATCATGAAGCTGTTAGGTAATTTTTCCAATGTTCCTCCACGTTTTTCTATCTTCTGCCAATCTAGCACATTCTGACAATGGAGCGCCAATGGTAGCAACAATATGGTCTGTGTATCGTGTAGGAGATCTACCTCTACTTCTTTTGCCTTCTACTTTTCCCTGGATGGTAAGTTTTTCAAGACCATTTCTTCGAAGCACATGTCCAAAATAGCTTATTATCTGTTCTGTTATTTGTGTTCTTAGTCTTTTCTTTATGTTTAGCTGGACCAGTATGGATTCATTTGTTCTTCGGGCCACCCATGGTATTCTCAGCATTCGTCTCCAGCAGTACATCTCAAATACATCTATGTTCTTTTTGTCTTTCTCAGTAAGGGTCCAGCATTCCGATGCATAAGTAAAAACTGGAAAAACTAGACTTCTTACTAGTCTCATTTTTGTATCGGTAGTAATTTCATGTCTTTTCCAAATTTTTGTTAATTTTGCCATAGCGCTTTTTGCGATTGCTGACCGCCGCTTTATTTCTTCAGTACAGCCTCCTTTGTTGGTTATTAATGAGCCCAGATACACAAATTTATCTACAACAGCGATATTGTTTATCCTAACCAGATGATTTTGATTGTTGTTAGCTCTGTCAATTATCATGATTCCCGTTTTATCCCTGTTTATTTTAAGGCCCATCGTTAAGCTTACGTCTTCTATCCGTTGTAGCAGGTGAATCAATTCAGTTTCAGAACTAGCGAGGATAGTAATATCATCTGCATATCTCAAGTTGCAAATCTTCTTCCCGCCAATGGTGATGCCACCGTTCCAGTCCTCAGTAGCTTTCCGCATTATCCATTCACCATAGATGTTAAATAAAATTGGGCTTAGTATGCAGCCTTGTCTCACGCCCTTTGTGACCCTGAAACTGTCAGTTAGTTCCCCATTTATTCTAACTCTGGCATAATTGTTATTGTACAGGCCTTTAATTAGCAGTATCAGATGATTAGGGACTCCCATTTCAGACATACATACTATATAAAAATGAATCACTAATACATACCCAACGTATATACAACATATATACAAAAGCAAGAACAGCTGGAGCCTCGCGCTCGCCGCGCGGAGAGAAACCGGTTTGCATACGTGCGTAGATGACATTAATAAAATAACTATAACTTATATTCTAGTGGGAATGGACCGCAGGAGTGTGACGTCACAACTGTCACATTGTCATTATTACTTTCCAAACAAACGTTGAAATGTCAAATCTCAAGACTTTTTAATTCCTATAAAGTTAACATTTTGCTTCCTCTGCTGCTTTTTCTTGTAAGTATAGTGTTTTTTACGATAATACCATCATAATTCAGAGTTCTATTTCTATGAAATATGGTTTAAAAGTTTAATTAAAGAAATTTTAACCTTACTTTATTGATACTTGCATTTTATTCCTATTAGCATAAAACAATGTGCTTTATTATTTACACAACCTTGTAAAATTGTTGTAGTAACTATTAGAATACTTAAATATTGCAAAAAGCGGAAAGATTCTATAAAATAAATGAAAAAATAACGAAAAATACAAATTATCCACACTAAACAAGGTTTGTTTGGAAAGTGAAACTGACAGATGTCAATCAAATCTACGTCATCACTCCTGTGGTCCATTTCTTTTTAAAATTTTAGGAGGGAGTTTTTGAATGTAAATGGAAGCGATTTATAAAAAAAAATAAAATTGATTTTTTGAAAGTTTCGCATGAGACTGTCCCCTTAAATTGTTTACACTTATTCGTTAGCGTTGCTATGTTAGTAGAGAATGTAGGGAATTATGAAGGAACAAGAAACCGAGTATCAATATGTCTTTTTACTGTGTGGATATATATTTTAGGGAAATTTTAAGCAGTTTTTTGTACTGTGATCACAAAGAAATCTCATTCTCGTCGTGCAACGGACTTAAGAGGAGAAAATTGTTACACATTTTGCAGTGTTTGCAAACCAGTAGTAGTTCCTATTACAACTTCTTTAAAAAAGTACGTGGAAGCTATTTTTTAATCTTCACATTCAATAATGTTTTAAAGACTTTTAAACGACGGAAATTGATCTTTAGGTACACCAGTAATCTTTGGGTGTCGCAATTTAAATTCCGTCAAAATTTTTCGCCAAGAAACTTTCATGGGTTTAAAAAACTATACATCTAAAGGCTGGCATATGTGTGTTGAATTACTGGGAAGGCACGCAAATTCAATATTGTGCAATTCACACAGTTGTTATACATGATCTGAAAAGTGAGACGCCAAGTTGTCACCGATTATAACTTTTTTACCTTCCAGCCGTCTTGCGTGTGGTAATATATATATATTATATATATATATATATAATATAATATATATATATATATATATATATCTATGCTGTCACCATTTTTCCGGGTTTGACTCCGCGTTGTAAAGTGCTGGTTTTCTTGAAAACCATTGTTTTGGCGACGTTTCGGCAAGGTCTCACTTGCCATTCTCAAGCCTGGTGGATCTACTTCTCGTCGTTACTCGATTAGTACTGTACTAATCGAGTAACGACGAGAAGTAGATCTACCAGGCTTGAGAATGGCAAGTGAGACCTTGCCGAAACGTCTCCAAAACAATGGTTTTCAAGAAAACCAGCACTTTACAACGCGGAGTCAAACCCGGAAAAATAGTGACAGCACATATAGCTCCCGCGGAAACCTCAAAACAAACATATATATATATAGTATATATATATATATATATATATATATATATATATATATATAATCGGTTTTAAAACGTCCTCCGACGTCTTCCATTGCCCAATCTCCATGCATCTCTATCTTCCCAAAGATCTTCGTCTAAAACCTCTCTCTCGGATCTCTCTGTCTATTCCTTCTCTCCAGCTCTTTCTGGGTCGGCCTCTTTTTCTCTTTCCATGTGGTGACCAATCTATAATCTGTTTGGGCAGACGATGTTCTGGCATTCTCTGCACATGTCCATACCACTTTAGTTGTTGTACTCTTATATCTTCGACAATCGTATGTGTGACTCCCATAACCTCTCTTATACGTTCGTTATTAATTCTTTCGAGTTTTGATTTTCCTGCGGCCCGTCTCCAGTAGTCCATCTCCGTGGCTTGTAGTGTTCTTGCAGTAGTTGCCTTTAACTGCCACACGTCACTTCCATACATTACTAAGCTCTTTATAATAGTGTTGTATATTCGATGTTTATTTTTTTTTTGAATATATGTTGATCCCAGATAATACTATTTAGTTGAGATAGCCTTCTAGGGCCATATCTCAGGGTAATATTATGGAAGGGCGTGTGGTAATAGTATGGTCTGAAACCAGTCTGTAAAACAAGTTACCTCCATCCACCCATTTTTTATTCGGTTATATCTAGCTCCTCTTGCCCAATATCCACTACTACAACAAGGAGAGCCCTTTGGACCCCCTAATGTCCACCCATCCCACATATGTTTGCTGCGATATATTATGTAAGGAGAGAGTAGTGTGCCATCAGCAGCACCGCACAACATTATTGATGTGGCGGTTTACTATGATTAGTGATTTGCTCTGGGTATTTGTCCCTCTTCTATATAGCAATTTTCTTTTCCCCGGATTATCATTAACATCGTAATTGAAAACGTGCGATAGGGGGGCAATTTGAGAGAGTTGTTCTTAAATGATTGAAATATGATTCTATCGTTTCTTTTGTGACACCTGCCCGAGCTCTAGTAATGTTAGACGCAAGTCGTTTTTTGATGAGACTATGCCTCTCTAGAAAATTGGTTACCCAGTGTTACCAGGACTTACCCCGTTTTTAAATTTAGAAATAATTCTTCCAGTTGTTTGTAAATAACTCTTAATGAAAAGTTGTACATCTAACGTTGATAATGGAAATCCCCAATCGGCACATTTGACAATGCAGGACACGATTGAATTTTCCTCCAGCGCCGACAACGCAGTTTGGTCCCCTGGTTTCTTCCCATGCTTCCCTTTGTATTTATTATATAAAGTACCATATGGAATTTTGAATCTTTCTGAAGCGACTTTAACAGACAAGTTTCCGTTTACTATTTGAATCAGAACATGTTTAAGAGTTTCGTCAGAGAAGTTCTTGTAGCTTCTTGACCCCAACTTTCGTTTATAAACTCGAGGCATTTTGGCTTTTCATATAGATAATGATGGAAACCTGAAATTAATTAACGGTTTGAAGTTTCATTAAGAAAACTATAAAAAGAAGTCAAATATCAAAGATCACCCGAAAAATGTATCAAAGTGACCCCGGAGAAGAAATCATGTAATTTCATGAAGTAGCTACGGAAATAACTTAGGTTAAATATTTTAAAAATATGGACAGTTAAACATAAATTAAGGCATATTTATACGTCCATGCAACATACACAAAATTACCTGAAATTGTATGTTTCAGGTAATTTATAAGAGTGTATATTTATAAGAGTGTACTTTATAAGAGTGACAACCACCATAACGGATGAAACATTTGGGTTGCATACTCTCTTGAAACAAAATATTAATGTTCTGTGACGTCCTCTCGTAGGAGTCACTATCCGGGTAGCTTTTGGACATTCAGAGACAGAGTTCAAAATAAAAATAAAACTTTATTGTCTTCCTTAAATTAAATTGACAAAAATCTTATGTACATATTTACAATTTAGTTTAGTCTTCTCAGTACCTGGCCTATTTATTTCAAATTAAATTTGACCTTGTCGTATGAAGTTGGTCTTATCGGCAATCGAGTGTGTTTTCGGAATTTTACGTGAACGATGTGTCGATTTAATAACAGCGGACGATAGGTACAAAGAAAAGAAAGGAACTCAACACGTCCCTTAAGTGATTCGGGTTAATAGGACACTCCTCGACAGTCTCAACACGACTGCTTCGGAGTACGAGTAATGGAGAGCTCAACACGCTCTCCGGGTGACGGTATGGAATGGAAACAACTTGTGAACTCAACACGTCCACAAGCCGGGGTAGGGAAGAAGAGAACCTTCAGTCAACACCTGACGATTCTGCCTCTATGAGGAAATAATGCGGTTTATATAGCAAAGTTTTGCCCTTTCTACTGTCGATACACTCCTACTTCATGGGTTGGTTCGCGCGCACGCTGGTTTTAACGGTGATGGCTTGGACTCATCGTTACAGTTCTATCAAAGTCACCCCATTCTACGAAATATTCATTGTTGACATTTTTATAGGTTTGTTTCACGAAAACCTAAAAAATTGTGTAGCTTCCACGTTTGATTGAATTTTCTTACTTGTGCAGTTCCTATAACACCTAGACATTTTCCTTGTAAATCTTGAAATAACAAAAAGTAGTGTTAGGAAGAGTCTACGCAGTTGTTTGTACTGTGATTTGATTCATGTCGTACAACTCGGAAAAGAAGAGAAATGTATAAATAAAATTTTAATTAATGTTTTTTCGTATTGTTTTAGCTGCGGATGACAAGCTTACGAGAATACTCGAGGAGTTTTCTGTAAATCTAAACTTACAAAATTTGGGCTTCATGAGCAACACTTTATCGCCTCTGTGCAAAGCATTGAACCATCAAACGACGCTATTAGACCTAAACTTATCAGGAAACTTCCTCGATATCCACTGCATGGTCGTTCTATGCTCAAGTCTTCCATCTCTAGTCAATCTCACCTCTTTAAACTTGAAATGTACCGGTTTGAGCAGTTCTCATCTAACGGAAATGGTGAATATGTTTTCTTTTGCTTCGAACAGAATATTAGAGAAATTGAAACGTCTAGATTTAAGTCACAACTACTTGAGGAACAAAAGTGGTGAGCATTTGGTGGAGATACTGAGGCATTTAAAATTGGAGCATTTGAATTTAGCAAACGTGGGGTTTAGCAGCGGTATTTTTCAAGATTTGCACAGTCGGAACTTGAAACTAAATCTCCAGGATGTGAAATATTTGAATATAAGCGATAATCAGTTAAGTAGTCGAGATGTGGAAAATATTATTTCTTGGACTGTTGAAAATAACTTGATTGATTTAAATTTGTCGAGGAATACTCTCAAAAATACCACTTTGGGACATTATAGTGAGGATTATGATAGAGACAACAAATTCAATTCATTGCACTCCTTGAATTTGTCTAGATGTCAACTCACTGATAATGATCTGTACCACATACTTAGGTAAGTTGGAAAATCTTAGTACTAAATTTTCTAGAAATCATTTAACACCTAGCCAATGCCTACGGGACATACACTAAAAGTTTTGCATAAATAATATTTATATTGTCACGACCTTCCATACTTAATATTTAATACGAAATTTTAAATTAAACGCAAACTGTATACTTTTTACAAAAGTAAAATAAATACTGATAATATAAAAACCAGACAAAATAGCAATTAACATTTTTTTTTCTTAAACAGTAAGCTGTATTTACAAATTTCTTTTTAATATTTATTCTAGCCTTACTATTCTTAAGGGCCAGAAAGAAATAATTAATTAACCAAATGTGGAAAATTTTATAAGTGCGATCTTTTGGCGATATTTTATTGTAGGGTAGCCTTTAACACATTTTAAACAGCTTTATTCCAAACTTAAGACGTTTTCCTTTCACATACTTTCGAAAAGATAACTTGCCTCCAAAGGGATCATAGTTTCATCAATGCTATGAATTGCAATATGCAATGTTAGCCAAGCAAACTTATTTTAATAATAAAATGATAAATGCACAGAATAGTACGGCTGAGGCTTGGCGCATCATAAATCGAAACACTGTCGGAGGTAAAAATCGAAACTCTTCAAAATACCCAAGTAATTTTAAAAATAATTTGGGAATTTCTGTGGATGACCCTCATGACATAGCTGAATCTTTTAGTCAACATTTTTCGAATTCCGTAAAAAATTTAATTAGTCAAACTTCACCTGACTATAATCCTAAGAATCTTTCTTCGCCTATACACTCCCTTTTCCTTTATCCTGTTAGTGATGAAGAAATAAAGAGTATAATTAAAGATATCTCAAAAAAATCCTCTGCTGGACTGGATGAGATCCCGTATTCTATGTTATTACATGTATCTCATAACATATATAAACAATTAACATTTCTAGTAAACCTTTCATTTCAGGAAGGGATTTTTCCTCAAATTCTAAATACTGCTCTAGTTGTGCCTATACATAAAAAAGGTGACAAATCAAAATTTGATAACTATCGAGGCCTATCACTTTTATCTGTGTTTTCAAAAATATATGAGAAGGCATTTCATACACGTCTCCTCTCATATATTAAAAGGCACAACATTATAGAAAAGTCTCAATTTGGTTTCCGTGAAGGTATAAGTGTGCAAAATGCACTACTAGCGCTGTGCAATCATATTTTATCGAACTTTGATAAGGGTAATAAAGTTATCTGTTTGTTTTTTGACTTAGCACGAGCTTTTGAAACTGTAAATCATCCAATACTGCTGGAAAAACTTTATCATAGTGGTGTTAGAGGAACTGCGTTAAAGTGGATCCAAACCTTTTTATCGAAAAGGTTTCAAAAAATTAAGGTTAATGTGAATGGAAATATAATATTTTCTTCAGAAGAAAGTGTCCTCTCCGGAGTTCCACAGGGAAGTATCATTGGCCCTCTTTTATTTTTGATTTTCGTCAACGATTTAAATCAACTGATAAACGATAGCTCAACATGTTTGGTTCGGAATCCATTAGATAATTTTTCTGATGCAATAAGCGTTCGAGGAGAAAACTTGGAACAGCAATCAGGCTGTTACGTCACTCAATTTGCTGACGATACCACAGTTGCACTAAATTCCAATAATTTTTCTCATGTAGTTCAAAAAGCAAACTGTCTTGTAAAAAGTATGAGTCTTTACTGTTTAAATAATGCCCTAATCTTAAATGGATCAAAGACCAATATGGTAACCTTTTCACCTTCTACTATGAAGATGAGTCCATTAGTAAGGCTTGACAATGGGTCTGTGGTAAATAGCCACTCCACCAAGTTGTTAGGTGTTTATCTGGATTCTAATTTGTCTTGGAGTTCTCACGTTGATTATGTAGTGGGAAGATTGTCTGTACACTGTTATGTTCTATGGCAACTTAGGAATTTTGTCTCCCTAGAAATCTTGAAACTTTACTATTTTGCTCATGTACAGTCAATTTTGCAATATTGCTTAGTTTGTTGGGGAAATTGCTCGCGTATTAATGAGGTGCTTGTTCTTCAAAAAAAAAATTATTCGTACCATGACGTTTAGAAGGCGCTTGGATTCCTGTAGACCAATTTTTAAACAATTAAATATTTTAACTGTAATTTCGCTGTATATTTTCAGTTGTGTTGTATATGTAAAGTCACATAGATGTAATTTTATTTGCAGAAATGATGTTTCCTTAATGAGTGGCTACAATTTTCGTTACAGAAATGATTTGGTGACCCCTGCTCGTCACTTGACTGTTGTGGGCAAGGGTCCTTACCCAACATGCGTTAGTTTGTATAATAAATTACCTAATTATGTTAAAGAGTTAAATATTTATGTATTTAAGAGAACAGTTAAGAAATTACTTCTGGCAAACACTTTCTATTCGTTAGAGGAATACTTGCAGGCATCTTTTTAACAATTTGTATGTTTTTGTGTATATTTTATGTTTTATGATTGTGCTTATAGTTTTTACTTTTTTTTACTACCTATGTATCAATAGTTTTTTAGATTGTATTTTGACGCATTTCAATACTTGTAAAAGTCAGATGAAATAAAGAATATTGATTGATTTGATTGATTGAATGCAAACAGTTGAGCTTGGAGTCATACATCGATGAAAATTAGTCTGTCATTTTCAGAACACTCGTCTTTGTTTACTAAATGAAACATGCGCAAGAACAATTCGAACCGATTTCGGGGCATGTATTTAGCAATACCACTTTTATATAATGAAATTTTGCGCCAGTTATCAGCTAATGACAGCTTTGAATCTAGTCCCATCCAAAGGAGTGAAAGGAGTACTATGAATGTACGCATTTCAGTGTAGTTATTGTATCTAATTTAAAACTTAATGTACTAAATCTAAAAGTAATACAAATGTTACAGTGCCTTAATATATCAACCAAATATTTTAGGTTATGTTCCAGTAAGTCAATTATGAATATAGACGTTTCTTATAACATTGACCTGACTGCAGTAACCTTGCGACGTATTCTGGAACTACCCATTTTAGAAGAAATCAACCTTATAGGTTGTGATAATATTTTGAAATACTTCTCCGAATTCTACGAAGAAGTTACAGAGAGTTGTAGGAGGAAATGCGTTAAACTGACTATAGATTTTAATTTGTACGCTAGAGAAATTGATAGTTTAATCGAAAATTTTAAGAAATTGTATACCGAACCAGTGATTGATAAAGGCGAAAGATTGCTAATAATACACTCTAAAGAGTGGGAAAAGTGATATTATTTTTTAAATATATTTTGTTATAAAAGATTATATATTAAGACTATTTTTATACATAATAAAAAAAAATGATAAAGACGTCGTTTTTTTTTTCTATTCCCATTTTTAAGCCTATTCCTTTTCTATATCTCTTTACAGGACGTTTCTTAAATAGTTTCAGCATAAAACATGGATGGTAATATAACTAAGTTTGTTAAAACAAAAGAATGCGCTGAAAAATCATATTTTTCTGACGAAATTGATTTGCAACTTCAATTATTCTAACCCTTTATTGTTGTTCGTCCTCTATTGTTACAGAATACACTTTCTCTTTCATAAACCACCAAAAGCAAAAGTCCATGGGGTTAAGACCTGGACTTCTAGGTGGCCAAGAAATACAGGGTTTCCCAATAGGGATGTCCTGTTTTTGAAATGTCTTAGCGGCCATTTTGAAAATGATGGAACTGTCACTTTTTGACGTTTGTATTTAGTATACTCTAACAAATTACCATGGCAAGATATACGATTGAACAACGGTTGGAAATTATCCTAAAATTTTATGCTAATAATCGTTCTTTTGTGAATACCTATCGTGCATTACGTGAAAATTATGGACCAAATGATCGTCCTGATGTGCGTGTAATTCGTCGAATCGTGGAAAAGTTTGAACGTGAATTTACTTTGCAGGATACGAAACCACCAACTAGACGCTGAAATGCAAGAACTCAGGACAATATTGCTGCTGTAATAGCCAGTGTAGCGGAGAATGCAAATGTGTCCGTAAATCGTCGTTCTCAGGAACTTGGACTCGCCAGAATGACAACTTGGCGAATTCTGAGAAAAGATTTAGGCCTACACCCTTACAAGATTGTTCTGACTCAAGAACTGAAGCCACTTGACCATCATAAGCGTCGTTTGTTCGCTGATTGGGCTCTAGACAAACTCGAAAATAATGGCGATTTTTTCAAAAAAGTAATATTTTCCGATGAACCTCATTTTTGGTTAAACGGCTTTGTGAATAAGCAAAATTTACGTTTTTGGAGTGAAAATAATCCACATGAGATTCTTGAGAAACCTTTGCATCCAGAAAAAGTCACTGTGTGGTGTGGTTTATGGCATGGTGGCATCATCGGACCTTATTTTTTCGAACATGGTGTAACAGTTAACGGTGAAAGGTATCGAACGATGATAACGGATTTTTTGTGGCCTCAGTTGGATGAAATGGATTTGGATGGCATGTTTTTTCAACAGGACGGTGCCAACATGTCACACTACTGCCCCAACCATTGATTTATTGAAGGAAAAGTTCCCGGAAACATTGATTTCTCTTGATGCCAGAGATCCCAGGAGAATTCAGCAACTTAGACCAGATGCTTGGCCTCCAAAAAGCTGCGATTTAACACCATTGGATTATTTTTTATGGGGCTATCTTAAGTCATTGGTCTATGTGAATAAACCACAATCCATTGAAGACTTAAAGAGGAATATAGAGTACACCATTCGTGAGATTAATGCGGATATTTTGCATAAAGTGACCGAAAATTGGGTTCATCGGATTCGCTCCTGCAAACGTAGTAGAGGGGGACATTTGAATGATGTGTTATTCAGAACATAATTGTTATCTATTATATTTTGCAATAAACTTTTCTTTTTTTGATTTACAGCAATTTTTTACCGTTTCGTTAAAAAAAACATCAGGACATTCTTATTGGGAGACCTTATAGATGCGTCACGACTCCTTCCAATATACCGATCAGGATACTGCCTGCAAAGGTATTCCCGGACTTCATTACTGTAATGCAGTGGAACACCATCTTATGCAAACCACATATTTTGCCTTATTGCAATATTTATTTCTTACAAATACTCTTGTAAATCGTTTGCCAAGAACTGCAAATAATTATCAGCATTTAAATTGTTGGGAAGAAATACTGGGCCTATTAGATTGTTATCCACAATTCCTGCCCAAACATTAACTTTGAAAGACATTTGAGTCTTTTTTTGCGGAGGATTTTCGTCAGCCCAAACGTGCTCGTTATGATGGTTTGTTATTCCATTTATACTGAAGGTAGCCTCGTCGGTAAACAAAATATTTCTAATAAAATTAACATTTCTAGTATTTTCCATTAACAACCAATCGCAAAATCAAATCCTTTTAAGATAATCTTTAACCAATAACTCTTGAACCGTTTTTAAGTAATAGAGTTTAAGCAGCTAATCCTTCAAACGTCTCCAAACCCTTACGTGAGGAACATTTAGTTGAGCAGCTATTACCCTTGTACTTGTTCCAGGGACTTTTTTAATGATTTTTTAAAATGTGTTCATCAGTTGCATCTATTATTAGAGGACCACTATTGTCAGCAACTTGCGGTTAGAATGTACCCGTTTCCCGTAAACGACGATCAATGGTCACAAATAATCAATAATCAAGTCAATACTTACTTTGTATTTCGATTGGAGTATTTTACTGCATAACTATTTGCATCTACTTGTACGCGTAGCTTACTGTACGCAAGAGACCTCTAGGAATAATCAAAACGATCGAAAATATCAACCAAAACAGCACAATAAAAGTAGAAGAAGAACTAACCGGCCCTATTGAAGCTGGCAATTGGATAAGACAGTGATATTCCCTGAGTCCTCTATTGTTCAACCCGATCATGGACGAAATAATAAAAAAAGTAAGATCTAAAAAAGCCATAGTATGTTTCAATGAATATATCAGAATACTCAGAATATTGCCATGACGAACGTATTAACGAAATATTAAAGCTTGGACAACACTGCATAAAATAATAAAAAGTTGCCTATATTTGGCGCAAGTTAGCCTCAACTTAGGGTATACTAATTAAATAAGGGGTAAATTATTAGATAAAATTCAATTGCGAAGATAGAGTAACGAGTAACAATATTTGAAGCCAGTTATAGAACAGAATTTACTTATGAATAATAGAGAGTTATTGAAGAGGTGTATTGTATTATGTCGTCCTGCAATAAAAACACCTTTATTTTGACATACACGCGTGCCATGATACTATAAACTACAGATAAACCCACGCGCACGCGATCAGTCGTGTGACGTCACTTGGCGACAAATGTCACCAGAAATGTTCTGTGTTGTATGGAGTTTTGTCAGATTTAGTCAAGGTTAGTAGATATTTAAGTATCTACTAACCTTGAGATTTAGTTTTGTTTTATCGTTTATCTTGTACGTTGACAATGGTTTACTGGGTAAACCATCTTTCCGAAGGAGGTTCACTTAAACCATATCCAGATTTTCTAATTAAATGTAATGAACTGGACCATATTTTTAACAATTTTAACAAAGGGTCATTAAAATTAACCAAGAATTATTTAAAATCGCTAATGGATTTAGCTGTGTTCAGATGTAATGTTAGTAAAGGTGTAAATTATATTTTAAAATTAGAAAATTAAATAGATATATTAAGGAAACATCCAAAGTTAAGAAGAAGAAAATATTAAAAATTGTAAAATAAATTGTTAAATAAACTTGTAAATTATTACAGTGTATTTTATTTTATCAGTTGTATTAAATTTTTATTTTAATAAATCAATCCATTGTATATATAATTTCCATTTGCAAAAGGATGTTTAGTTCTTACTTTTTTACTAATTTTAGTTTACATTGCTAGGCTAACAGAGATGTATATATAACATATTTTTAAGATTTAATTGCAGATATTTTACCTAACATCCCTTAATATCTAAATATTTAAATAAAAAACCCCTTGCTTTCCATATATGTTTTACCGACTTTGATGATAAAAGGTTGATGATAAAAGTAACTTTTATCACCAATTGACGTAATGCCGTCGATGTACAAAATTTGATTGCGAAGTGGGTTTATCTTGGAAGTCTTCGTATCATGCACGCGTGCGCAGTTTTGCGTCTTTTTATTTTTGTCCTTTCCTGTAATAAAGTATCAATGAATAAAAATACATCATCATCATTATCATCACGTAGCGCTACAAACCCTAGGTGGGTTTTGGCTGACTGTACAACTTTTTTCCAATTGTTTCGGTCTTCCATCAACCTAGGGTCAAACGGAATGTTCATTTTCCGGAGATCTGCTTGGATGTTATCTCTCCATCGCATTCTGGGACGTCCGAGTGGTCTTTTGCCTGAGGAAATCTCCTCCCATACAAGTTTTACAAGTCTTTCGTTATGCAGTCTGTGCACGTGGCCTGCCCATCTCAGTCGCTGTGATTTAATTTCTTGGACAACATCTTGATCTATGAACTTCTTGTGAGATTTTTTGACTTTATGAGCTTATCCAGTGCAAATAGACAATGGTTTGCAGATTGGATTTCTCGTTGTCAGCTGTGATTACAGCCCCCAGATACTTAAAACGTTGTAATAAAATACAGGCGACCTATATTTTATTAAAAGAAAGGACATTGTGACGTCAGAGTTTAGGTACCTTGTTTATAGTCCATGGACGACATAAAACACTTTTCCATTCCATGCACTTCTTCAATAACAAATGTGAAGTTAGCTACTTTAAAAAAACTAAACGCTAACCTAACACTAAATGGTGACAATGGTGTTCGATGGTCGTTTATGAATTGTTTTTATTTACTGATGATACACTTGTAAAAATGTTATTGTATGTATAGGTGTGTAGTTTATTAAATGAACTGTTTACAATGGAACCAAAAATTTATACGAAAACTATAGACAAAATTAAAATGAAGCGTCGAAGAAGCAGTGTTGGTATTGATATTAAATCACCTAAAAGAGAAAGTATTTCTGCAGTTATTATGGATAATGGAGCATATAATATTAAAGTTGGAATGTCGAAGGATGAAAGACCGACTGTTGTACCTAATTGTATAATGAAAGCGAAGTCTGAAAGAAAAAGACTCTTTGTAGGTAACCAAATAAATGAATGCAGGGATTGTTCTGGGCTTTATTTTCTGATGCCCTGTGAAAGAGGGTATATAACCAAATGGGATGTACAAAAACCAGTTTGGGATTATATTCTAAGTAAAAGTGTGTGCCCAGTGGATGATAAGCCTGTGATAATGACACAACCATTGTTCAATTTTAAATCTATTCAAGACTGTATGGACGAAATATTCTTTGAAGAATACGAAGTACCTTCTATGTTTCGCTTAAATCCAACAGATTTAGCTGTGCTCAAATATATTGAGGAAAAAAACTTACCAGAAAATACAGCTTGTGTTATTGTAGACACTGGTTTTAGCTTTACTCATGTTATCCCCTATGTTAAGGGAAATAAGTATTTAAAGGGTATTAGGAGATTGAATGTTGGAGGAAAACTGTTGACAAATCATTAAAAGATCTTATATCTTATAGACAGTATAACGTGATGGAAGAAACTTATGTCATCAATCAAGTTAAAGAAGATACATGCTATGTAGCAGAAAATGTAGTAAAAGAGCTTCATCTTGCGGCTAACAAGAAAGACAACTCTATAGTGAAAAACTATGTTCTGCCTGACTTTAACAATATTAGAAGAGGTTATATCCAAGATCCTAATGATACAAATCAAAAGGAAAAGGAGGAAAATTGCCAAATATTGAGGCTAAACAATGAACGCTTTGTAGTGCCTGAAATATTATTCCATCCATCTGATATTGGTATGAAAAGTATGGGCATTGCTGAGGCTGTAGTGAAGTCTATTTTGTGTTGCCCAAAGGACCAGCAAGAATATTTGGCTAAAAATATAGTTCTTGTAGGAGGAAACTGTAATTTTTCAGGTAAAAATTTAACTCTACTAATAAAGTTTACTCAGTTTACAAAGTTAACTGGTCAGTTGGGATCATAGACATATAATACAAGATCGACTGACTGCTGCAATACTATCACAGTGGCACAGAGAAAACTGGCATAAAACAGTACCTGTATCTCTGCCTAATGGGCCTGGGCCCTAATTCTAATTGAGATTTCGGCTCAAAACATGTCGAAATTAATATGGCGATGTCGAAATGCGACTTTGCGAGCCTAGTGGATTTCAGCTGAACTAACCAAAGGACATCACTAAATTTTCGACTTATCGAAATTAATTTTAACTTCAAGAAAGTGGTTGAGATTTCATTTCAAGTCGAAATTAATGTGCCATGACTGGCTGGGACTGGGAGAAGTGAGATTAGGTTCAGTTTAGGCAGTGTTGTTTTGTTTGATTCTTGCAAAGAAAACTGAGGCAAAAAGTATTAATATGGCTGCGTTTTATGAGAAATTAAATATGTGATTCGGCACACAATTGGTCGAAATTTTGACACATATAAAAATAGAACTGCAGTACCTGGGGGCCCCAAGCCAGATACTACTGATTATTTTTTAAAATACTGTGGTACAAAAATTAAAGAAATAAAATGTCCCAATATTAAAACTAAATTGGAGACCACAATTTGAAGATATTCAACAGGTTGTAATGGAAGATAGAAATAATAAATAATTTTGGTTGTAATAATTTATTTGTTCTTTTTATAAATTATGTGTTTGAATGGCTTGCTCTTGAAATTCTACTCTCTTAATATGAGTTTAAATCTTTAAAACTCATCACAAATATTTAGAGCGGTTATGTATTGTTTTTAGTAATACATCTCCTCCTACTTCAGTAGTTCCGATGCTATTTGATCCAATCCCTGTGATTTATTGTTTTTTAATTTGGCTACTGCTGTTCTAATCTTGGTTATTGTTGGTGCCTGGTAGGTACTTTTCTTTCTAATATACTAATATATATAGGTCTAATATACAATTAGACCAGGACCTGGTAGGTCTTGGTCTAATTGTATATCAAAGTTCTCCTCCAGCCGCCATTATGACATAAGTTTTACGTTTTTGCGCACAAATTGGCGCATTTCTTGTACAAGAAATCTGCAGCGGACACAAATTCTTGTATCGTTTCTGATATAAGAACTATATGCTTGTATGACACTATCCATTTTTTTGTTATATCAGAAACGATATAAGAAATGATACAAGAAAATGCATAGTGTCATATGGCCTTAAGAAGAATGTTACGGGATACTCAAAATCCTTTTTCACTAAGTGATGCTCAATTTAGGCAGCAAATTCCGCCTTAATAAACAAGCTGCAAATTATTTGATAGGGATATTAGAACCATATTTGGAGGAGGGTGTTTATGCCTCTAGAAGACCCAAAATGTTTAGGATAAGTATTACTAAGCTGCAGTAAATTTAAAAATATATTAGAATATAACCATTAAGTTAAAAGCCAAAATAATTTCTATTTGGTCCACAGAAAATTTAGTGCCACCATCAGCGGCAGCCTCTTCATCCATTTCTTTCAATTCAAAATATAATAATTGGGAATGGCCACTAAAAATTTAACAACTCAAACAACAAACAAAAGGCGTAATGTAAACAAAACAAACATTTAACAAGCGTTGTGCAGAGTGCAGTCAATAAACAAGACGGCCAACTCAAATTCTGAGCAGTGTCAAAATGATGAAGTAAATATTCCCACTTTTAACTAAAATCGAAATGAATGAGAATCTCTAGCGCTTGCGACTGTTATGGCGTAGTCGCTTTTAAATTTCAACATCGAAATAAAATAGAATCAGCACCCTGGTTATCAACTTGACCTTCCCATTGGTCATTTAGGTCATGTGATCAATAAACCTGGCAAATTAGAAAGAGATGCAGGGACTGCTTTACATCAGTTTTCTCTGTTGCACTAGGGGAACAGGCTGGGAATGATCAATTTTATCTTGTATTGTATGTCTATGGTGAGTTCAGTGAATAAAGTATACTAGCCTTTAGTTCATTTTTTGTGTTCATTATAGATCTGTAGTTATTGCAACACTTTGTTTCTGTTTCGTTTTAACAGTTCTATTAATTGTTGTATAATACAAAATATATTTTTAGGTTTCAGAGAAAGAATGTATGCAGAATTAAGGTCTCAGCTGCCTCAAGAATGGGATGTGTGTGTCTATCTTCCGGATGATCCAATTTCATATAGTTGGAAAGGGGGCAGCGCTTTATTAAAAGTGCCAAATTTTAAATCATTTTTAGGTAAATCTTCATTTAATATTAAATTCATTTTATAATACTTATTGCCTATTTTTATTTTAGTCTCTAGATCTGAATATGAAGAGCTTGGTTCAACCATCATCCAACAGAGGTTCAACAGCTGGATGGTAGACAATTCTGAGAAAGAGGAGGAGGAAAAAAATACAGAAGAAAACTTTAGTTACCTTGATAAAATTAAAGGAAAATCAATTTTTGGCAAGCAAGATGCCACTGCTAATGATTTACAACCAGATACTACTGCTAGTACCTCAGTGTTTGAAAAAAATGACTCTCTGGCCAATGCTGATAACAAAACTGATAATCCCGAAGTTTCAGAACAATCTCAAGATGTTTCTCAAACTGCTGAAAGTGAAACTACTACTCCACAAGTTGGTAGACCAAGAAAAACAGTATTGAAAAGTCATAGTAGTTTGAATGAGTCTTCAGAACAATCTGAAGATGAAGAAAACTTGATGGATTCGGTTGAATTGTTTCCATTTGGAACAGACTCTTATTTATAAAAAAATTGTGAAACTTTTATATTAAAAACTAACAAAATATAGATATATTTTTCTTTGATTTAAAAGAAAATCCTTATTACTAGTAAAAAAGCTTTACTTGGTTCACTTGATCTCAGTTCCAACTGTCTAGTAAATTTAGTAATTATTTTTTGTTACATTGGTTAAATTTTGGCCTACTCGAGGTGACTGTTGATTGCTATACCCATATAGACTGAGCAGTCTGTAGAACTAAGTGATGTAGTGATGACACCATTTTTTTTTTAACAAAATAAAACTGCATCAACTCCAACACAAGTTTATTTTTGAAATTCTATAGTTTATAGATTAGTAATATTTTATTATATTATTTAAAATTATTGTTCTTTTTTTTTTAATAAAAGAAATCTGAAATAATAAGTTATTTGAGCTACTAATACTGAGGGGTAGTAATTTTTGTTGTTTGTTTCACAATGAATCTGTCAAAATATTCCCAAATATAGTAAAATAGACTATAAGAATACACCAAACTCATTTATAAATAAAGTATTTTGACATAAAACAGTTGTTACTTTTATTTAAATGTATATTATCACAAAATATGTATAAGTTTACGCCTGTACTACATTTATCTAAGAATTTATTCTCAATCACAAGATCCATCTAACCAACCATCCCTCCACCTCTCATTCACTTTGGAGCAGTCAAATACATCTTTGCCGATTTTTACATTCACTTTATTATGCAATTTACATAACCATTGGCTTAGTGCTTCCTGGGATTTTGTCTGTGGAGGGTCAACTTTTAAGCTAAAAGTTTAAAAACTGAAATTATTTGTGATATGTCATATCTAACAAACTTACTCATCCCTTAAATCTTTAGCACAGTGGTCACAAGGGTAAAACCTTGAAAAGTGGGTAAAAAAGTCCTTCATTGCTTTTTCATCTTGGACAGTTGGTTTGTCGGGATATTTCGCGGCCATTGTATGAAGCAGACCCCACGTCTTACTGCCTAACTCATCTTTATCCAAAGGACAGTCCTCTCTTCTTGGTTTCTCAACATGTTCCTAAAAATTGAACATTTAGAAAGAAATAATACCCATATAAATTTAGGATACTGTTGGATAATAAAAAATGGTTTTTAAATGAGTTCTAAAACTCTGTATTAAACTAAAAATTTGTATTAAGTTTAAAACTTACACTGACAGATCCATTTTCTGTACTTTTCTTTTTGGCAGATTTGACATAGTCTGAAAAACTCGTACACTGCCTACACTGTTCGTTATCTAATGGTGAAGGACGTCCTGGCATATCATAAAAAAATTACATAATATTTGTTAAATTCTTAATTTTTTCTCTATCCAAAATTGCTGATGAAATTATATTGTATTGACTTTGAAAGCAATGAAGTTTGATACAAACATGTCCACGTGCTTGTGACGTTTTCGTTTTACAGCTTGCAATTTTATAGCTGTAAGACGCAAGAAAGTTGCCTAAAGACATAGGCAGTATGTCGTCAGCTGATTATTATCTGCCACAGCACACTTCCATCTAGCAGTGCGAATCCTGTGGTAACAAGTAAAACGACGATTGTCGTATCGCCTAGTGCCAGGGTGCGTAACTATATATACATGGCGGTAAATTCAAAAGGCACGTAAAATTACACTCATTTTAAAGTAAGGAAAATCAATATAATCCCAAAATGACAAAAAAACCTTATTTTATACGATAATATGTATATATTGTTTTCGTATACTATTTGGATTTTCTTGTTATGTTGAGGTTATATTTATTTTCCACTACATTAAAATACTAAAGTGATGAATAAAAATAAGTTAAGAGGTTTAATAATTATAATAATCGTACACATAAGGATATCTCCAAACTATTTATTAAAGATTATTTATTGATACATACAAAAAACTGACATTTCGAACGTCCAACTCTCCAATGACGTCACGACTTATGAGCAATATCTTATCTTCTAATCATAGTATCATGCTATTTATGACATAAAGTGACAACCACCCACAGAACTCTTCCGCCAGGTTTAATTTATCAGTGGTGACAACTAACAATGTCCAGGAAACAGACTGACAATGCCACCAAACGGAAGGGTGCACAAATAAAAACGTGCGTTGACCTTAGCTATGGCAATCCTTTTATCAATTTAGGTCTTATTATCTGTGATTAAGGTTATATTATCATAATAGTAAACATAAACATTAAAATTAATAATATAAAACAATTTACAATGAATATATTACCCAAAAAGAGGTATGTGCAACATGAATTCTTTAACATGATTGTATTATATTATATTTCAGGTGGCATGTCCGTACTAAAGACAATATCGCCAGAGTCAGAAGAGATGAAGCAAAAGCTTTGGAGGAAGAAAAGGCTAGACAAGATAGAATAAAGCTTGCTGATGAGTTTTTAAAGAGTGAAATAACTAAAGTTTCTGTTTGATTTTTATTTAAATCGTATTTTTAGGAAAGAGAAGCTAGAAGGGAATTGTTATTGAACCGAAGTCGATCAACAACTGGATTTAAACCTGATTTGAACATAAAAGAAGACACAAATGATAACAAACATATTAATTTCTTTGAAGAATTGGAAGAAGGCACTGCTGAGATAAAACATGTAAACAAAAGAACATGAAAAAGAGAAGAAAGAAGAAAAGGAGAAGTATGAAAAGCAGATAGGGTATCTAACATATTTAGGGCAAGATACCAATGAAGCTTTAGGCAAGAAAAGTTGGTATAATGTTGCTCCCGATAGATCAGATATAAAGCATGAAGTGAACTTAAAAACGAAAATTAGGGAGGATCCTTTGCATATTATTAAAAAGTACAATCTAGAAAGCAACAAAAAAGTAACACTGGATGATATTCCATCTACTAGTAGAAGTGTGAAAGAATTAGATTCAATTTGTAGACAAATATCAGTGTCGAAACAAACTAAGAAACATAAACATAAAAAACACAAAAAGCATAAAAAACGCAAGTATTCTACATCCTCAGACTCTTCAGAAGATATGGAACTCAAAATTGAGAAACAAAAAGAACTTGAAATCTTGAGAATGAAAAGGTTAAAGAGAGAAGCTGAAGAAAGAAAAAAGACAAATGCAGTACTGTCAAAACTAAAGAAGAAAGATGATGAACCTGTAGAAAATAGCAATAAAGTCAATAATTTTAAGGCAAAATACAATTCACAATTTAATCCATATTTGGCAAAACAAAATTATACCTAATATATATAAAAAATTGTTTATTTTTAGCTTTTTCCTATTGTTGGCCAACAAAATAAATAAAGTACTTCATATGAGATCCAATGACTTTAGAATCCAAATTTTGTGACAGTAAGCCATAATTTCTATCTCTGGCAATGTCATGCACATGCTGCTGATTTTATCACATAAGTTAGGACAACCTATTCCACTCTAAATTTTACTTTCAGTTTTTCTACACCACCTATTATCTACCTCCCTCACTACAACAATCAGTTGAGGTTCCGTTAGAAGTAAACAGATGAATTTTTTGAAATTTCGAAAAGAAATTTGTGTGCAAAATTTAAGAAGGAGCAATCAAGTAGTTTTTGAGATACAGTAAACATTGACTTAAGAATTATTCGTATAGGGATAAGCTTCCTGCTAAAATATCTCGTTGCTCCTATTTTTGACAGACTCTGCCTTTGTTTGTTGCATATGTAGTCATTTTATCGGCTCTAGTACTTTGATTGTTATCTGCCATGAATGCATAATTATGAGAACTTGACACTGTACTTATTCCAATTTCTATGTGAGTGTTCACTCACCTCAATCACCTACTCACTCCTAAATGCTGATAACTCCATCAGTTTTGCTCTGATCACTCTGAAATTTTAGCTGGATACTCTTGAAGAGTTATACCAACAAAAAATACCCTACCGCCCCTAAAATAATTGATTTTCCTAAGTACTCTTTAAATACAATAAGAGTAAGTCAAAATTCATTATTTGTTCAGTATTTTTAAAAGCATCACCCTGCAGTATATATCAACACCATAATCTAAAGTTATTGTAGTTTAATTTGCTCCACACAGTTAATAGGCTTATTTAAATTTAAATAATCTGTCAATTTTTAGAATTTTTTCATTTTTCTTTCCATAAGAACCTTTTATCACTGTTAGAAAATTACAAGAAAAAGAAAGATGAAAGGTAAATTCGTTTTCAAGTTATGGTATAACACAGGGATTCATTTTTATATAATAGATTAAGGGGCCCTTGAATGAACTATATAGTAACTATCATTGTAGACTAAACAATCACATTGAAAAAATATAGCTCAATCACTTTTTTAAACGATTTATTTTCTTTTTTGGTAAAAAATTATATGTACAAAATATATAGACTTAATATTAGAGTATGCCAACTTCTTGCGCTCCCTGTTCTGCAAGTTTCTTTGCCTCGAGTTCTCGTAATTGCTCCAGAGTAAGCAACGAAACACCCAACTGATCTTCTCTTGTAAAAGGCTGAGCCATTTGCCTCAACCACCTCTTTGCAATCTAAAAAGATAAGCATAATAGTAAAGTCTCACTATAAAATAAAAAAAAATCTTACTTGAACTCCTTCTTCAGTTGATAAGTTACAATAGGAGTCTTTGAGATGTTCCTGGATCCATTTTGGAAGCTTGGATTTCTTGTCAGATCTGGAGAAGCGCTTATCTGCGAATATCATTATACCATAGTCAGTTTTTCCTCGTATAGCTCTTCCCACACATTGAGCTGCATGTCTCATTGCATCAAAAGTCAGGAAATCGTTTTCTTTAATCTAAAAATTACAATATGTACCATTAAATTTATTGAAATGTCACAATGTATATAAAAATACCTGAAATTGATCTCTTAAATAATCCAACCTTGCTTTTAATATTCGAGATTGTGTATACACATATGGGATTCCAAACATTAGCACTGCTCTGCCCAAATGATGATCAAAATCGACTCCTTCTGAGACTTTGCCCCTAGCTACAGATAGGAGAACAGCTCCTCTACCAGATTCGCAAGCCTAAAATATACCAAATGATTTTAATTGTGATTGAGTGAACATTTTAATGTTCATTCATTCAAAATCCATATATTTCTAGCCATGAGTCATTGTAATGTAGGTGATGATACACTATAGTTATCATATCAGTTAGTTTTTTTACAAATAATACCTACCTTAATGTAGTACATCAAAGCAAAGCTTGTCTCAGCTGAGTCTTGTGTTTCGATAAATAATAATTTATACCTCTGTAGGTTATCAATCACACCTTGATCATACCAACTTGCCACTACTGATTCCAAATATAGATAAGAGGTAAAGAAACACACAATACCATCAGGAACATTTGCTGCAATCTTAAAACACAATATTAAGCATTTTCTAAACAAAAATAGTTATTTTCTTACCTCTACAAGAAGCTGTCCATAATTTCTTATGACAGCATTGTCATCTCTTGTTTCAAACTTAGATGAAATCGCTACTTGATCATTTCCTTTAGAAACAATCTAAAAAATAGTTGTTTATTTCCCAATATACATGAAAATCTTAGAAATATTGCATTTTTTGTAAGACATCCCCTGGGTTACTCTTACTTACCATTGGAAGCAGACAAGGCCTAGCTAAAGTCATGGTAAATGATGACATAATCACAGGATGGAAGTTCAAAATTTTAGGGTACATATCTAGAGGAGATAATGTTCCAGATGTTATAACTACAGTTTGAAACCTGTCAAATACTGGCTTAATGGCTATGGAAGAATCCAAACAACTGAAACACACACAAAACAATAAATTTATACATACATATATTAGCTCGAAGGAACAATACCTGACATATAAAATGGGATTTGATACTGTGGGGGTTTTGTCATCAAATGGCTCAACAATTACAGTAAATCCTTTGGTATAAGTTGATACTAAAGTGGCTACATGTGTTATTAATATTATCGGACTGAAGTCTGTCAAATCAGCTATTTCTAAGGTTCTCAATAAAGATGCCAAACGTTCAGCACAGAATTTAAAGGTTTCCTTTCAATACAGACCTAAAATAATGTTTTATTTATATTTATACATCAGGGAACAGTAAATATTTAGTGATGTGTATATACTTACTTTTGATTGCAAGTCTTTGAGGAATCCCACAGGTGATTCTTGTACTACATGTTGAACCCTCAAACGAGTCTTAATGTACTCGACAAATCTTTTTAAAAAGCTAATAAAATGCTCTGCATTTCTTATATTTCCTGGCACAGCCTCCTGAAGAATCTCATCTGGTAATACTGGATTTGACAATATAACATCAGTTTCTCTGGCAACATTTGCATCTCTTAAACCTTGCACTAGCCTTTGATATTCTTCTTGAAGTTTTCTGGAGTCCTCATCTCTCATCCTAACAAAGAAAAATGATTGCTAAATTATTATTGACAATGTCAGAAATGTAGGGGCATGGATTTCAATATATTTCCTTGCTTTATTATTTATAGAAAAGCTGTTGCAGTGTATCACATCAAATGTTGATCACATTTGGTCTAGTTACAAGATCATCACAAAAAATTAGTGTTTTTAAAATTGCTATTTAATAGTTATGATGACTTTGTGCTTTATTGGAAGAATATTATGGAATATTTAGAATCTAAAGAAGCAACTACTCTATGGGCGAATAAAAAAATATTTTAATACTTTAATAATTAAATCAAGAAACAACATCAAAATAAAAAGTTTATCACCATATTGCACTCAAACTTGCTTATGGCCCCAACTATACAGTGAAAATGAATGTTTTTATTATGAATATTACTATAATACACATCATACAGAAAAAAAACAATAATGTCTGTGGAATACTTACTCAGCTATAGTTTTTTCTAGTAACTGTATATTAGCTGTGGCTCTTTCTATGGTCTTTTTCTGAATCTTCACACTCATAGAATCTATACACACATTATCAATGTTGTGTGCTTCATCAAATATCACTACTGCTTCCTTTGTCAGTTCTTTGGAGACCACATCTGCTATTTTTGGATCCAGCAAATAATGATAACTGTAGACTACTATATTGGCATATGTAATCTACAAAAATGTTGTATTATAATCCATGTTTAAAAAAATTTTTTGGTATATCAAATACTCCTGTAAAAACTCACAGCAAATCGGGCAAGAAAATATGGACACCAGTTCCTTTTTCTTCCATACTGCTTTAGATCATCTAAATTATAAACCCCATAAGGTATTACAGATTCTTTACCATCTATATTAAATTCCTCATAGAAACTGCAAACAGGCACAGTATCATCATCATTGTGCCTGTCTCTTACATAACTAGCAGTCAGTGCATGGCATTTTCCATCAACAATCTTACCCTCTCTTTGTGTACTAACCTGTAAAAATAATAAAAGCATTAACTATTTACATACCTTAAAGAAAACTAAAAATACCTCTGGGTGTATACACATATTCTTTCTTGATGATAATACTAAAACCGGTTATTTGAGGTTGTTCTCCATCAATCTTTTCATAATACTCCACCAATTTCTTCAATTCCTCCATAACTTTTTCTATTTCTGGAACAGTTCTAGAGCAATATATCAGTTTTCGAACAGAATGTGGATTTTCTATCATGTATGCAACAATGAGAGATAACAAAGTAACGGTCTTCCCTGTGCCAGAGGGCATTTCAAGTAAACAATGTCCCTAGAAAAATAAACTAATATGGTAAGGAATATAAAACTACATTAGCTCATTATTTACCTTTGCATCTAAAGCTTTTTTTAATTCTGACATATATGCATACTGTTCTGGGTATATATAGTCGTAGGGGAAATATACTACCAATCCATCAACACTAAGCCTAAAAATAATTAGAAATAATTAAAGTGTTCAAAATATTTATTTAATAGTTTACCTCATATTGTGTGTTTATTAACCTGATATTTTGACAATCACCGGTTGGTAAATCACGGTTAGAAAAATCTTCTGTTAAAATTATTTATAGTGTTGTGAAAGATAGAAGAGGTTTCAGCACCTAAGCAAAACATAAATAAATTAAATCTAGATTGGTAACAAGGATAGCCAAGGTAAACACGTTTTTATCTGTGCACCCTTCCGTTTGTGGCACTGCTAGTCTCGTTCCTTGTCACTTCAAAGTCAAAGTCAAGGTTTGTATATAGACAGGTTGTCTGGTACTTTAAATCAGCGTGGAGAATCTAATAGCGCGAATGACGTCACTGAGAATACTACATTCAAATTCATTCTCTTTACCGGTTGAAATGAATTCAGAAAGCAGCAAGATTGAAAATATAATAATCTTGTGTATCGAAAAAAATGCTTTTCGATTTTTAATGTCCAAAGTAAATCATGCTGAAAAAGAGATTCTTGTATATCAAAACTAGTAAATTTTTCCTTAAGAACATCTGATTACATTACTTGGATTTAAAAATATGTTTTGCCTTTTTCTCAAACTTAGTTTCGCTTTTCAGTTTAGCTGTCTCAAGTTCTTTATAATCCATGATTTAGGACTAACTATTTCACTATCTTCTTTTTTTAGAAGTTTTTGTTGAAGTTTCACGTTTTCGTCTTTCATGTTCCTTAATTAACTTTTGAGTATATGTTGGGTAGGAGTATTCATTTGTATTACTTTTATCTGCTCCTTTTTAATATCCTGTAAATATGTTCGACAATATCTTTGCTTTTTCCTGGCCATGCGTTTTAATGTCATACTTATTTCTTTTACGTCTTCTTCATTTGGCAGTAGAAATAACGATGGAATTGCTAAAATTGAAAGTTTTAATTACAACTAAGTGAAGTTAATATTAATGATCTTTGTTTGTTTTTTTTTTACTTTCTTTTGTAAATTAAATCACCAAAGTAACTCAAAGTCAATAACAATCACATTAAATGTATCTTAACACTTGTATAAGAGTTTTGGGTTCAAGTTATATAAAATTAAGTTAAAAAATAAAGTAAACAATAAGACTCTTTGGGTACAAACAGCTGAAAGGATAGGCTAATTGTACTCTTTAGTCCTTTATTAATCCAATATTTCGTCGATAGTCATCGATATCATCAGGAATAAGCTACAAATAGTTTTACATGAAAATTGACAATCTATTTTAATTAAGTTGATGTTACTTACGATTTTGACAATATTGCCGTAAAAACTGGTCAAAGTTGTAAGAATTTTTTTGTGAAAAATTGTATGTTTTTTTCACAAAAAGAAAAACATGTAATGTAAATTTACAAAAACTGTTTCTCCTAATAAAACGCCCCTAGCAGTGTATCTTATGAGATACAAGGTCAATAAAATGTCAAAAAATTTAAAATAGAAACAAAAATGTAATTGACTCTGAAAATTCAGCCCTCTAAAGATAATATTTAGTAAAGCAAAAACATTTTTCTTACAGCGGTTTATGTGCGCGCCAAGTTAAGGGTAATTTGAGCATGTTATCACTGCTAAAATATATGTGTTTATAATGAAGAAAAAATGTTACCATGACACAACATATGATGAGTCTATAGCTATAGACAAAATATACTGTGGTCAAATACAACAATAAAAACATTTATATAAACACACTTGGCTTATGCCACAAACAACCATTTGTTACAGAACTGCATAATACTTGTTGTAACAAAAAAACCTTTTCTACAATAAGATATGAACCACTTTTTTTTATTTTGCAGAACACACATAATGAGGAACGCGAAGCGAGTTGTCCATATGTCAAGGCCGTGAAATCATTTTCAACGTTTACCAGTTCCTGAAAGCCGAAAAAGAACAAGGAACACCCACAATCCCACTAAGCAGTCTACAAGAAAGAGTAGCGGCAGCTTGTGGTGTTGGACTTAGGACAGTACAAACGAATAATACAGGAAGCTGACAACAAACCTGTTGGTAGTAGGTTTACATCACCAAGGAAGCATATAAACAAACCGTCAACCTCAAAAGGTACAATAGATGAGTATGAAGAGGAGATTGTTCGAAGAATAATTTATTCATTTACCGCCGTACATAAAAGGAGACCTACGATGAAAGCTGTATTTCAAGCCGTTAAAAATGAAGAAGGTACTATCAATTTTACGGGAAAAATTGATTCTTTTCGTAGGCTAGTAAAAAAATTAGGATTCCGTTGGAGAAGAACTGAAGACAACAGGAAAATGTTGATGGAAACGCATGACATAAAGCTAAAAAGAAATTCAGTATTTAAGAAACATTCAAAGTAAATGAGTGAAGAAGGCCGAGAAATTATATACTGTGAACGAGACTTATATACACAGTTCCCACACGGTACTTAAGGCATGGGATCGATGGCAAAAATAAATGCCTAAAATCGCCAGCATCAAAAGGAAAACGCCTATTATTTGTACATGCTGGAGGTGCATCTGGTTTTGTACCTGGGGCATTAAAATATATTTAAATCTGGTTGTAAAACAGGGGACTACCATGACGACATGAACAACAAAAATTTTACAAAATGGTTGCAAGAAAATTTATGCCGGCCGCCCCAAGAAAATGTGTCTTGGTGTTGGATAACGCCTCTTACCACAATATAACGGTGGGAGCCGAATCCAAATACTTCATGGAAGAAAGCCTCTATGCAACAATGGCTAATGGAAAGGGGTAATTTTATACGAGGCTAAAGCAACGAAGCCTGAATTAATATGCTTTAATAAAAAGGCACAAGCCAGTTCACAAAACAATATGTTGTGGATAGGATCTTAGCTGCAAAAGAGATAGTAGCATTACGTCTGCCACCCTATCACCCAGAGTTAAATCCCATAGAGAAAATATGGGGCATTGTTTAGTTAAAAATGAAATTGCTGCTTGCAAACACAACTTTTAAGCTGGATGATGTCTGGAAATTAGGCAGAAGAAAAGTTTCAGAACGTTACCGTGGACCAATGGCAAAAATATCTGTAAACCATGTTAAAAAATTGAGCAAAAGTATCTGGAGAGACATCATGTAGTCGATCAAGTGAAGATTTGATAATAACAATTAGAGAAGACGAAAGTGATACTAGCTCTGATGGACAATTCTTCAGAATGAAGAAAATGACAGCGATTTGGGGTTGTCAACCATTATTGTAAAAAATAATACATATTTTAACACAACTTTTTAAAAATTGTATTTTCCTTAAAACATAATAAAATATGCAAGTTACAATCCAAATACGTTTTTACATTAATTTAATTACGATAATTGCAATCAAATTTTTTTCTACAAAAAATATTAATATTTTGTCTCAAGAACATATAAATAAGGTTGAAATAATTAATTCCGCTAACTTAAGTTTGTTCCCAATTCAATTAGTAATTCCACTGTACTTACGGTTAAACCCATGTTTTTACAATTCACTTATACAGCTTCCTGTCGGACTTCGCCCCTGCGCGCAAATATGACGTAGACGCCACGAGATAATCAATTTGCTATACTAAAATACACTCAATGATATCTATAGACACATTATATCTAAAGATATTAACTAAAACACTTGCAATATTTAACAACAAAATATATATTCCAAACCACTTATCCTATTCTGTTCTCAAACGATTCATAAAATTGACCAGCTGGCTGACGTCACGGTGACATATTTGATTCTGCCAATGTCAGAGTTACCATGTAACCTCTCTTTTAATAACCTTGGGTCAAAGTCTTCCTTTGTTACGCACCCTGGCACTAGGCAATGCGCCAATCGTCGTTTTACCTTGTTAACACTGGACTGGCACTACTAGGTGAGAGTGTGCTGTGACTATAATTTTTAGGTTGTGTTGACATATCCAGTTTAATTTTTTTATTTTTTTTGAATAACTTTAATAAAATAAAATGACTGAGGTTTCCGACAAATTAAGTAAAATAGATTTAAGTCATTCATCCTGTAGTGAAGAAAATGAATCAAGTAGTGAAGGTGCTGTGATTTATAGAACAATTTATGACATACTATTAAATATTTATTTTATTAGATGATTCTGAAGAAGAATGCGTGCCAGACTTTCCAGTTGCGATGTGGGACTTCAACCAATGTGATCCAAAAAAATGTTCTGGTCGAAAATTAGCTAGAATGAATTTGGTGAAATGTCTTAAACAGAAGCAACGTTTTCATGGTATTGTTTTAACACCAACTGGAGAAAAATGTGTAAGTCCTGCTGATAGAGAAATTGTTGAAACTAAAGGAATAGCTGTTGTTGAATGTTCGTGGGCTAGAATAGATGAAACACCAATAGCAGCCTTAAAACCTGTACATGGAAGACTTCTTCCATTCTTAGGTATATCGTAATTATTTGGAAAGTGTTAAGCATTTAATTTCATATTTTCAGTTGCTACCAATCCGATAAATTACGGAAGACCTTGTCAGCTGAGTTGCGTAGAAGCTATAGCAGCTACAATGTACATAACAGGTTTTAAAGAAGAAGCCGATTTTTAATGAACAAATTTTCGTGGGGACACTCTTTTGAAGAGCTAAATAAAGAACTGTTGGATATTTATGCTACTTGTACTGATAGTAAGTCTGTTGTGGAGGCACAAAATGAATATATTAAGAAGGAACAACTTAAACAGGAACAAGATAAAAGAAGTGTGTATATATTGTTTTTTTTTTTATATATAATTTTTCTAATAAATGAGTTATTAATAATTATATTTTTATTTTCAGGCCAGCCAGATTTTCCAAGCTCCAGTGATTCAAGTGATACTGAGTGAAAAATTGTATATATTATATAAGTTTTGTTAATTTTTAAGAAAATATAACATAAAAACAAAAAATTATATGTTTTATTCTGTTTATTTCTGTTTCTCCAATTTAAGAATATCGTAAATAGAGTAAAATTAAATTTTAACTTGATAGAAGACCACAAATATATGTTTGATTTGTTTTTTACTATCAAATTATTTGAAAATGGAACTAGAAAGAAAAATCCAAGATCAGTTATAATGTATGGCACTGTTGGGCAATATCAAAAAATATAACAACAATGAATTATGGTACAAAAATGAGAAAGCTCAGATTGAATGTAGAGTCCTAAAAAAGTAATATATCAAAAGACAGCACAGGTTATGTTGGTTAGGGCAGCTTCAAAGCTGAAATGATAAAAAAATGTACTTACTACCTACATAGGAATAAACATAATGATAAATGATATTCTGTAGCTGAGGACACCAAGAATAAACATAATGATAAATGATATTCTGTAGCTGTATATAAAAGTAGCTGAGGACACAAGACTGTAGAATTAATTATGCCATAAAGCCACTTTTAATTAATCGTCAGTTTTAAAGTGGGAGAATACCAAGTTGGGTTTCAATTTAATGATAATTTACTTGATTTAATTCAAAAGCTATACCCTGTTTAATGTTACACATTGTGTTGAACTGTCTCAATTTTTGATATAAATGGAGAAGGCAAATAAGATGGAGACCATACACAAGAACAATACTCTAGATGGGTCTGACTAAAAAACAATAACAGTAATTTAATCGCTTCAATATTCTGAAAGTCTCTAGTGAACCATTTTTTAAGCCAAGCATTTGTAAAGACTTGGAAATTATTTACACATAATGTGATTCAAATAAAAGTTTAGAGTCTAAATTAATTCCAGATCACGAATTTCAGTAACCCTGTCAACAAGAATGTTCTGTATATTATAATTATATTCTATTGGGTCTCTTGATCGTCCAAAAGAAAACAGCATGACACTTGGATGCGTTCAGGGGACCATGGCATTCAACACACATGTCACTCAACTGATCGAGATCGTATTGAAGATTAACACAATCTCGTAACTTTTTTTTTATAATTAAAATATGAAATTATTTTTAATCCCTTTAACGCCGAAACGTGTGATAAAAAAATCAGTTATTTTCACATAGTCAGCTGACTTGGAGTCCCTATAGAAACCATCATTAACCAAACCACTATTATTGGGCTCCTTTTGGTCATCTTTATCTCAAATTCCAGTGGTGGGTGGTGTATACCCTCCCTCAAAAGAGCTTCGTCTGCTCTGGGCACAGTTACATCAGCATTATCAGCCAGCACCAAATCAAAGAATATTACCCGTGGAATTCACAATAGTGTTGGACTGACACAACCTGCAGGGCTTCAACTTCAGATGCTGTGACAGCTGGTAGAGGAATTATTGTAGAGCACATTTCATTTGAAAACCATTCACAGTTTGGTAAATTGAAATCAGCAGTCAGATAATAGTGTGCCGATGGATAAACTTCAGCTATTTGTTCCAAGGTTTCACAAAATATGGAATATTTCTCAAATGTAGACTTGATGGAAAATATGCTTTTCCTATAATAAACTGAATTGCACCTTCAGTCACCAGGACAAAAAGTTGTTTGATTGTCTGGTTAACTGTTAAAGCTCTTATGAACTGCAATAAGGACTCTACCACCTCTTGAGAAAGAAATAAAACACATTTTCTATAAAAAGTATATTCATACAAATATATTTACAAAATAATACTAATCTACCTACATGACTATTCAATTTCATGTTAAAAAGTTTAAAAGATTTATACATCTCAAAATTAAGAGAACTAAAACAAGATCATCACTGATTAGATGAACAAAATTTGTACCCAGACTCAGATACATGTCTTTATCATATAAAAAAATATTTTAAAATTCCTGTTAAAGAGATCTGAAGCAGCAAATAACCATTTTTAAATATATGTTGAATTTTTTAATAATTCTAGGTTTTCACTGAACATCTAAATGTTTAAGTTTGTATTAGGATGCATTTACTTCTTCAATCGTCAGATGTGCAATGAATCTCAGTCGAAGCTGCAATTGCGGCCTCAACTTTCTAACCACAGCCTCTAATTCCTTCTTTAAACTGTCTCCTACGAACATATACTTTATATGGTACAACAAATCACACACAGGATCCATATATTTCATATCTGTCTGCGCTTGGTCGACTTGAGCTAGCAATTCGTAGAGTGCATTGGTTAACTCCATTATAGCCATGTGGAATCTCTGCAGGAACGGACCTACTAGATGACAAACATACAGGAACTGTTCCTCAGTCTTTACTACGGGCGGTAAGCTCTCCCTTACCCATCTAGGGATACTTGCAATTTGCCCGGGACCTGCGTGGTGCCAAACGGAGTGCGCAAGCGCTAGCATGTAGCTGAACTGGTTATGCAAAAGACCGCTGTGGGTATGCTTGAAGTTAAAGAGATCAAACGGAGAGCAATCGAAAGGCCACGTATCTAATCAGTCACTTGTTGATATCAACCCTTTCGTGGAGGACGTTCCAGTAGCTGATAGGAAGCGCCGAGAGAACAAGGCCGATTGCGTTGATCCATTGGTGAATGTCGGCGGACGGAATCATTACATAGCCTAGAAAATAAAACAAATTTCAACAGGAGTGACAATATTGATCCAGTGGGATTTGGACAAAATAACATAATATATCCCGTTTTTCAAGCTTTTATTCTGAATATTTCGAAAAGTATCCTGTGCAAAGATTCTGAAAATATATGATAAAATTTAAAGTTATCGAAAACAAGGTCCTTACGCCCCATTAAAGACAAAATCGCGGCCATAACTAATGCGCCTGCGTCAACCAATAAAACCGAGAGATGTTTCAATACATTTAATAATTTTGTTCTGAAGCTATTTTCTTGTGGCATTGTAAATTATTACTATTAAACTGGGAATAAAGCCACAATTAAAGATAAAAATACGTTTATTGACGTTTCAATTTCCACTTCGGAAATCGTTCTCAAAATATAAACAGTAAATTAAACAAATTTTGTTTTTTGTTACATAGTGAAAAATTCTTCTAATAAATTTAATTTTATCTGACTCATTTATATTGACAATTCAGACATACATTATGCATTTTAAAGTAGACGACTTTTAAAATGATATTGCCAATATTGTTGAGTTGCGCTACTGGGGCGACTTTACTTATAAGATAGGTCATTCGATTACATGAAATCAACTTAAACTTTGGTTTGGACATTTTAACATTTCAACAACATTCAAAACAACAAACACGTTGAGATGTATTTTGTCCATAAACCAAACCTAACAATGAACAAGAAAGGACAAAGAAATTGCATTTATAAATACCTTGTTAATGCGATCAGTTTTATTTAGGTGAATCATCAAGGCCATTATAATGTTAGAATAAGTGAAACATCAATCGTTATATTAAAAACAGAGAATTTGATAAATCCCAACATCTGTAAACACGCATGGGATAATGAACATAGGGTTCAATGGAATAATTCAAATGTAGTCCTAAAAGAAACGGATGGTAAAAAAAGAAAAATCAAAGAAGCGGCTCTAATTATGATAAATGAGGCAATTGTTGTCGCAAATTCTCGGCAGAATGTAGTTAGGATTGGTTACCAATATTGAAAGAGGAAGTTATTAATAAGAAAATACCAGTATTAGTAAGTCAGGTAACATATGGAGGATACATCATTTATGTTTTTTAAATAACGTAACATATAAAATCAGAATTTTGATGTTTGTTGAAGGTAAACTAAATTAACGAACAAATTACTTACAATGTCGGGATAGTATTATGAGGTTTTTTCATGGTTTTTCCCTCATAATTTACTATGGAATCACTAACAGGAGAATTTTTACTGTCATCATTGTCATGTGTTTGTCTTTTTAAAGACGAATTACATGCTATGATTTTTTTCTGACGGATATTCTCAAGTTAAGTTGATTTTCATGTAATCGAATGAACTATCTTATAAGTAAAGTCGTCCCAGGAGCGCAACTCAACAATATTGGCAATATCATTTTAAAGTCGTCTACTTTAAAATGCATATGTATGAATTGTCAATATAAATGAGTCAGATAAAATTAAATTATTAGAAGAATTTTTCACTATGTAACAAAAAAACAAAATTTGTTTAATTTACTGTTTGTATTTTGAGAACGATTCCGAAGTGGAAATTGAAACGTCAATAAACGTATTTTTATCTTTAATTGTGTTTTTCCCAGTTTAATAGTAATTACATTTAATAATGCAACAAATGATTTTAAGTCATACCTTTAGCAACCACATCAAGCAATCCGTTGGCTATAGCTTTAGGACCGGCGGAAAGTGCCATCAGTTCAACACAGGTAGTATACAGGATGTGAGCACCGGCGTTGGGGAATTCGTTGAACCTCCAATCGGTTGAAGAGTTGGAATTTGAACCATTGATGACTTCCACTACTCTCTTGATCATCTGGATATAATAATCGAGTTCCGGTAGCCATATTTCCTCGGAATTGGTCTTCAAGAATGCCTGATACGGTTCAGATAAAGTTTCCTTTAGACTTCCCAACACAGCTGCAACTAATCTATAAAATAAAACAGTGGAGTTCAAGATTTTGTGTTAAATTCTGACATTAACTTACTTTTTCTTAAACGGTGGCCTCTCTCTGAGCTTAGACTCGTAATAATGAAGAGTATTGTATAGATAAGTAACTGGCCTGTCGTGAAATTTGTACAAACAACCTAGGTGTTCCAACAGAATTTCTAGGCTCTTCGTGACTTGAGGTATTTCTAAAAACCTGTGTATAACAATGTCGAACACCGGGAGAAACCTAAAAAGTAAAAAAAAATAATTTTTGTTTTTATAAAGCCTTAGATTAGGAACATACCTTAAACAGACATTTCCAAAATTAGGATGGTATCCTCCACTCTGCTCCTCAGGGGCAAACTTCTCCGGATACTTCCTCTGAAACTCCAAATGCTTCTCATGCCAATTAGTCTGATTCCAATGGTCCGGAGAATTGTCCTTAACGAAGTCCTGTACTCTAGTTCTAAATTCAGAAGCTTTCAGTAAAACCAACTGTATAATAAAGGAACAGACTTGTGCTTCGCTTCCTTCTTGAGTTCTCAAAGCTAGACATAATACTAAGCGGTCGATGGTGACGATGTTGTACTTCCAAATCATGTCATTCACAGTATCTACACATTTATTAACATGCTGGCCTCCTGGAGAGTTGCTGAATTCGAATACAAGGCAGTCGCAGAATTTTCTTAGATGAGCTGAGAGTGCCCTGGCGCCTATTCGTTCCAGAATTCTGAAAAATCACCCAATCTATTAATTACCATATTTAACTGTTTGTTTGGCCTTTTAGAAGCGTTTAAAGAAGTGATCACCAACCTTCGTTAGAAGACGGCACAAGAAGAAGAAGACTACAAAAAAGTTACATGTTACATGAAAAAAAAATCGCAGGAATATGTAAAATGTTCCAAGAACTGTGTTTTTAAAAACTAATAGAGGTAGAGGGGAAGTTTTTGGTTACTCTAGTGACTTTTGCAAAAACTGCAGTGGATTTAGCTCGACAGTGATAAGGTGTCTATTTCTGACCACCCGAATCATGCCATATTTGTGTGGTGACTGCGTGCCAGGAATGAAAAAGGCAGTTACACTCTAAACAACCGTGTAAAAGCATTAGAAGATACACTAAGTGAAATCAAAATCGCAAATTGTCAAAAAATGAAGGAGTTTGGAAACCAGTTTTACTACCTCATTTGAAGACAGTTCCACATTGGTGCATGGCAGTGTTTTGTATGGAATGTCGGAGAGACAAAAGAGATCTTGCAATCTTATGATCTTTAATATGCCTCAAGATGATGAGGAAGATGACACATCTAAAGCTAAGAAAATGCTGTCGGGCTTAGCTGGTTCTGATATAAAAATAGTCAGTTTAACTAGAATTGGCAAACGAAATAAAAATGGGTCTCAACCACTGCGACTAACTCTAGAGTCACCTGAAATGGTTCGTTGATATTAAGAAACAAGAGGGAGTTGGATAGAGGTTTAAAAGTATTCCTGGAAGCTGATTTAACTACTGAACAACAAGCTGAGGTCAATGCACTGAAAAATGAGTTCAAAGAAAGACAGTGTAAGAGTGAATCCAATCTCATTTTGAAATATGTTAATGGTGTGCCAAAGTTAATACGAAAAAACTAAACATATCTACCAGTTTCAAAGCATCCTCAGTTGAGACTTCAAAAGTGCTGGTGTATTTTCAGATTGTCAGAGGGTTATGTACAAAACTTCAGCTACTGTTTAAAAATACTTCTTACATACAATATGATATTTTAGTTTTTAATGAAACATGGTTAACAGATGACATAAGAGCGCTGAACTGTAAATGTTTGACTACAACATATATAGAAGAGATAGATCCTCAGAAACAAGTACTTTTAGAAGAGGTTGAGGAGTGCTTATAGCTGTCCAGAAAACCATAACCAGTGTTTGTTCATCAGCCACTCAAAATATCGAACATCTGTTTGTCAAGATTGAGATTGATCTCATCGACAAGTTTATCTTTGCAATTGCCTACTTTCCACCACGAAGTATCATTGATAAGTATGTCGAATTTGCAGAAAATGTAAATAATCTAGCTGAAAAGTATCTAGAATATAAGTTATGTATCCTGGGATTATCGTATCTCTTATAAGAATAGGAAGACTAAGATGGGCAGGACATCTAGCAAGATCACAGCAGAACAACCCTCTTAGAAGAATCCTTATGTCACAACCCGTGGGAAGTACAAAACTCAGATCAAGGATGGTGTAGATGAGGATGGTAGAAAGATAGGCGCAGCAAACTGGCAACGGTTTTTCAATGGATAGGGACTGCCTGGCGTAATAGCCTTGGGAAGGTCGAGGCTCTTTCATAGGGCTGTACCACCATTGATGATGATGATCCTGGGATTATCTAATCTTTTGAAAAAAACAGAGTACACTTGGCTTTGATTAATTGAGCTGCTTACCCATTAATCCGCTTTTTAAAATGTATAGTATTTGTGAAATATGAAATAAATCTATATAAAAGCAGGCTTACTTGTAAGCGATGGGGCTGATATGATTAGTATCGAGCAACATCCTCCACAAAAGACACAGGAACAGCGGTGGAGCTCCCGGCACTCCAAAATGCGCCATTATGTCATTTTCGTTGTTCATAGACGCCCACTTCCTATTCTCTTCCTCTACAGCTTTCTTCAACTGTTGTTTGTTCTCTTTAGGAACGACATGTTGAGTGAAAAATTCGGCCATGGCTCTAGGGAAACACTCCAAGGTCTGTGGGGCCCACGCATGTGGGGTGCTTTGGGCGATTGTGGCTAGCAATTCGTGACACCAAGTTCCATCTGTGCCGGTGACGTGGGTTGCTCTTGCTAGAGTTAAGATAAGGGCTCTATTGAGTTCCTCTGATTCTGCGGATACTATGCCTTTCGGTTCTGTTAGAAATCGAGATAGTTCTGGCTGGACGTCTTTGCTACCTAAACCTGGTGAAATAATAAATAGAATCGATCTGCTTAATATTTTCTTGGAAAATAAAAGTTATATTTTATGTTTTTCTGAATAATGCCTCAGAGAAGCTGAATTAACAATTTTTTTATCAACTTGTATTCTTTGCAAGCTGATTTCTACTTGTCTACTTTCTTTGTTTTATCTTGGAGTGCGTGCAACATTTCAAAAAACAATTTTAATAACTATCTTACTTAATTAGTTAGTTTTAAAAAAATTTCATTAGAGATAAAAAATAAATAAATAATATATTGTTTGCTTTGTTAGATAATCTTTTTATGAACTCACCTGTTATGAGTCTCAGTGCAGTCGATTCTACACACAAATGAAGTTGAGTTTGATTAGCCTGTGGTACAGCCGCCAAAGAATGCAGATGACTCAACAACTGTACTCTGTAGTGGGGATGTATATGGTGCATCCTGTAGCTGAACATCTCCAGTAAAGTATATAAAGTGCCCCAAGCATGAAACTTATACACCTGCGGTAATAACTGGTTCAGAAAACCTTGATTCCCAGAGATTCAATTTCTGTGTACACCAGAAGCCTACTGTAAGTTTCTACTAGAGCTGGAGAGAGTGGCATTCCAGATTTGGCCTGGGATGACTTGATGACATGTGTTACTATGCTGTGGATTAGGCTCATTTTCGAATGAACAGTGAGTGAGTCTAAAACTGTCATGCTGAGGGGGGCTGTTGGTGGAGAAGACGATTTAGCACTTCCATTGGATTGTTTCGACAAGGGCAGCCATTGGTTTACTATAAATAAAAAATTATTTCACCTAAGTTAACGATAATCCAAAATCAAAAGATATAAACATAAAATATAATGATTATATATGCTGATGATTTTATATGTTTTAGGCTTAAATTTATATCATTTAAATTATTTAAACTTGCAGTAAATTCTGTTCTTACCTAAAGTAATCCTGATTGGTTGAATATGCATTGCACAATAAAGCAATTCTGTAGTCATTTCCCATTGCAAGTGCAGCATTATTAGGAGGAACCAAATGCTGCAAAAAATCATGATGTGCTCTCAACTTTGTAGGCACTGGCCAAGTAATATTGGCTTGTTCAGTTTGAGCTTTTTTAGTCAAATGAATCCAGATGCAGGTCATGGCCATCTGGCGGGTGCATTGTGGTTGGTTGTAATCTGGAACTGATAGAGGTTGGTCTTCTTCGGGATAGAGCAATTCATATAGTCTTAAAACTGGTAAGAAGTTGGAAAGTGGGTTGCGCTGTATGGAACCAGAAATGAACTGTAGCAGAACCCACATCAGCTGATCTCTGCCTGAAATTGTACAATAATGTAAAGAATTTACCAAAGAGAGGAGCTGATCTTAAGAGTTTATAATGCTCAGATTTCTCCAAAAAAGGAGCTTTTAGTGTATATGAAAACACCAAATGTCCAAAACAACATCAAATATTTGTAAATTCATCAAAAATTCAAATCATCAACATTCATATGATAAAGGGATTTTGTCAATACTCGAATAATTAAATAACTATAGACATTATTAATATTAAAAAGATCTTTGATGGGATGAGAAAGATATATTGTGTGTACCTCTCTATAAATCATATTAAACTATTAAATTTGGAATTGAAGACTTAAACTAATAAAGAATCATTAAAAATGTTTTCAAATGCATTTTTGTAATTGAATGTAAATCAAATTCAGTTATTTTTTGTTTGAAATGATCTAAAATATCTGCTTCTTATATTACTTACCTCTTCTCAAATCTCTCCCTTGCAACCTAGAATGCAAGGACATCACCAAACTAGGAAAACTAGCAAATTGAAATAGCACAAAGTAAATAAGCTGTGAGGATAAATGAAGCCAAAGATCTTGGGTTGCTTGTTCATCACCTTCAACCTCTGTTTTTTCTAGTGCCAACACCACCAGTTCAATCAGCTGTTCTTCAATGGCTTGACAATGTTGTTTGTGTTGTTTGTTTAAACCTAACATGCCACAAACCATGTCTCGGCTATAGGGTTGTTCCAAAACATACCTCAACAAGCCAGTTTGCTTTTCTAGCAGTTCTGGGGAGTAAGGTAAAGTTCCTGAAACAATATTTATACAATTACATGACATTTTTATGTTATCTAGTTCCGTTGTATTGTTTCATACTACAATTTTGATTTTGGAATTTAAATATTAAAAATAATATAGTTTTTATGTATACTGATACAATTTATCCTTTTTTTTTTATAATTTTCTCTTACAAACTCAAAATCAACTATAATCAACTTATGTGAAATTTTAAAACATACAAAAATGAAGTTTTTCAATATTTTTCTCCCTTACTTACCTTTTACAGCAAATCTTAAGGTTTGTGGATCTAATTTCCAAGGATTCACCAGATGCTCAGGACACCCGCTGTGTTCAACAACTGGCCTCATTTCAGTCTGTCCAATAATAGACACCATTTGGGCACAAGCTCTAAAACTTTCTACATAGTCTGAAAATAGGGCAGACAGTCTCCAATGGGGGCAGTCTGGGAAAGCCTTCTGTAGCTCATTTACTAGCAAATATCCTGGCAGTAAACAGGCATCTCTGTCCATTATTTTTTGTGCTACTTCCATCAGGGCTTGAGTTTGAGGTTGAAGGCCTGAGTTTAAGGACCATGGCAGTGTTTTTGCTTTTTCACAACATCCCTGAAAGAATATTTCAGCTAAAAAACAAGATACCTCCAAACCAGAGGAAAGAAGAAAGGATGGAAGAGAAGAGAAGCAAGTTTTTAGAGACATATAAGTATAATTGAATAATGGGGAGATAGAATGTATACAGGGATTAAAATTAAAAGTGAAAAAATCTATTAAGTATTACAAGTAATAGCTCTATACAGATGAAATCTACTTATATATATACTATATACTATAGGTTGTACTTACTTTCATTATTTCTCTGACACCCTTATATTCAACCAAATCAATAATTATTTTTATCAATTTGAAACATTCTACCCAGAAATGTGAGTTATTGTGTTGCAAAAGTTCACTAGCTATAATCAATTCACACACTTTTCTAGCAGGTAGTGTTCCACTTTTAACACAACTTTCTAAGAGTTCCATCAATAATTTTAAGTGATTTTGAGAACACCCATACGCTATGCCTAAATACTGTCTTACAGCTGCATCTAACTGCTCAGAGCTTGCGTTTCGAAAGGCATTATTTAGTTCTTGTTGCCAATATGTAACCTTTTCAGTCTCATTATTTAGCCTGTGCACTAGAAAACAACTAAATGCTTCCTCGATTCCTTCTACTTTTAAAATATCATTTAAAATTCCTGCTACAGCCTCACACATTTTAATATAGTCAAAATTTTCAAAAAGTCGGTAAGTACTTTAAATAAAATTACATGGTTCTATCACCCATTTTTATCAAAACAATATACGGTTGTTTCTGTTTCTAAACACAACATAACCTTAAAAAGTCAAACTCTTCTTTTTGTAGATGACGTTTTTTGCAAATAATTGAACTAAGTTTATATAACTGCCATTTTATATATTTTTTGTTAGCTTTTATATTATTTTTATTAACTATTTCGTTTTATTAGGCCCATTCAGAAAATTGTCAGTTTCTGAATTTAACGTAATTATCCAATAAATTCATTTTAGGTATGAACTATGAAACCCTTGAAGATATTATATGATGTTAAGGTTTGTATCACTGACAATTGATGTCATAAGACTTCCATATTGACAGATCATATGATCAGTTGTGAGCACCCATTTTAATTGAGCAAGTTGTTCAGAAAGTTGCTGGGCGTAGTCGGGAAAAACATTGTTTAAATCCCTTTAATTTCCTCTAAGCCGAAACAAAAAGGTTCAAAATGGCTCTCAGCGACGCAGATGTACAAAAACAGGTATGAAACATTTCGAGAATTGTTCATTAGTAAAATTATTTAGGTTGCTTACTGATGGAGGTAGTTTTATATTGATGGTAGAAATGTTATAATCTGAAACGGCATAACGACATATATATTTTCTTTTAAATGTAGATCAAGCACATGATGGCTTTCATTGAGCAAGAAGCCAATGAAAAGGCCGAGGAAATCGATGCAAAGGCAGAGGAAGAATTCAACATTGAAAAGGGCCGTCTGGTCCAACAACAGAGGCTCAAGATTATGGAGTACTACGAGAAAAAGGAGAAACAAGTAGAACTCCAGAAGAAAATGTAAGTTTCTTAAGACAAATTATTTTCTATAATGCATACTTGTCATGTGATCTGTTTCAATTATTTAATGAGTCCTATTCTAGTGTTTAATTGATGTTTTCTAAGTTTATTTATATCGTAAGGCGCAATCCAGCAGTAAAACAGAAATTTACATGAAAAATATTATTTATTTGTCAAGGTCATGAAACTTTATTGATTTAATTACAGTTACACAAATTTTGTGCCTTCAAACAGGTACAACTATCGAATGTTCCATACAATCTTAATATTGTTATAGTCAATCATCAAACATGTTGAATCAGGCAAGATTGAAGGTATTGAAAGTAAGAGAAGACCATGTACGTGCTGTTTTGGAAGATGCTCGCAAACGTCTTGGTGAGGTAACCAGAGATTCAGGAAAATATACACAAATTCTGGAAAGCCTCATCCTCCAAGGGCTCTATCAGGTGAGCTATCAATTTTGATAAATTAGGATGTATTCATGTTGAATGTTTGGGTAGTAATGTAGTAGAATGGCTAGCTGATAAATGTGAGAAGTATTTCTGGAAATTTAATTTTGTTTTTCATTTATAATAATTTTATTTTGCATTAAAGGGAGCTGAAAATATTTCATAGGTTGTAAAGTTTGGAATTTGTTTATGTTATGGTTTTGCAGCCTGCTTCTTTTCAGCTCTTGGAACATTAAAAAAAGAAGTGAAATAGTTCATATATTTGTTTTTAAATTAATTTACAATAATAAGGTACATTTTTTTTAGTTTCAGATAATATAGTGTCAAAATACAGAAATAAAAAGAGCAGTTGGTCAAAGGCTCAATTTGATTCAATGCATTTTGTGGTATTAAAATATTATATAATCAGTTCCATTATTAATTTATTTAACTATGTGCATGAATAATCTAATAGTTTAAATGTTGTAATATGTGTATTTGAGTAATTTGAGAGTCCTGTTTTATAAATACTTAACCAAATTCCAAAAGAAGATAAAAAGATACACAAAGCTTATTTCACTTCTTTAATTTTAATGTATTTTGCTTGCTTTATGGTGCCCATAGAACTAAAAAGCATGTGTACTAATATTTATAGACAGAATACACAGGCATTCTTGAGAACCTCATTCTGCAGGGGTTGTTTCAGGTAAGGCAATATTATTTTAGGCCTAATTTTGTATGCTAGCTTTTTAAAATGTTATTTATGTGGTACTAACTGGAAAAATAAATAGGGTTGTATGTCTATTAGAGATTGATAAATGTTTTCTGAGGGTAGAATTGTCTCAGGAATCAGGCTAAACTCAATTTTTGTTGGTGTTGGATTGATAGATTTTAAATCGGCCTATGATAGTGTCCTAAGAAATAAATTGTATGAAGCCATGGATGAATTCCACATCCCCGATACACTGATAAAGATTGGTTAAGGCTACAATGCATTAAGTTGTTTGCAAAGTCGAGATACAGTGCAAACAATCACAGGCATTTGAAATGCATGTCGGGCTGCGACAGGGAGATGCACTGGCGTGTCTTTTTTGGCAAAACGAAAATTTTTTAATAAATCATCCCAAATTTTGGCATATACAGATGATGTATACCACCTTGTCAAATACCTCAAAAAATATGGGCCTGCAAGTAAATGAGGAGATAACTAAGATAATGGCATCAACACCCAACAATAGAGCCAGAAACAACAGCCACCAATTCACTGTTGATAACTCTACCTTTGAAGTGGTGGACAAATTCACATATTTAGGCTCCCTGATCACCAAGGAGAATGTCATGACGGAGGAAATCAAGCAAAGAATATTCCTAGCAAACAAATGCAGTTCCTACCAAACCAGAATTTCTACTGTTCTATACATTCTTGTCACTCTTGTTGGGTTTCAAGTCTATAGTGGACTGGAACAGTTTTGATAGAAGATAATTAATTATCTGTCTAGATCTATCACAGAATATAAAGCATTATTAATCTTTAGATACTCATCAAACATATTACCCAAAACATTATTCATGTCAGGGATATGTTCCTCTTCAGTTTAGGAGAAAAACTCATTATATTTTACTGTTTTTTAACTTCCTAAGAGTAATATATTTCAAACACTTTATTCCACTTGTAGTTTTATATAACAAATAAATTTTAACCCCTAAATTTTTTTTGCAGCTCTTCGAAAAGGATATTACAGTTAGAGTACGCCCTCAGGACAGAGAATTGGTAAAATCTATCATTCCTAATGTCTCTCAAAAGTACAAGGACATAACCGGTAAAGATGTAAATCTTAAAATCGATGACGAGAGCCATCTTTCTCAAGAAACCACTGGAGGAGTCGAACTTTTGGCATTGAGAAACAAGATCAAAATCAACAATACTCTGGAGGCACGTCTTGAGCTCATCTCACAACAATTGATTCCCCAGATTCGTAATGCTCTGTTCGGGCGCAATGTCAACAGAAAATTCACTGATTAAGTATTTTTTGGATACTGTGTATTGCCTGTATTTTATATAGTATTGTAAAACATTGTTGGTTGCTTAGACAGATCTTCAAAAACCTTTAAAACTACTATGTATATACGATATATATAATAAACCATTCCTCTTTTGAAGTATTTTAAACAGTTAAGTTTGTTGTTACCCTTATTTGATCCTTGTCAAGCAGTTATTTTTGAAAATCCTTAGAAAATAATTATTTTTCATTTACATTATTTTTTTTTCTCAAAATATATCCATATTTATGTTTATATGTATATAAAAAATTATTTTTTCTTGTGAGAAATCATCGCAATAAAATTTATTGTTAGTTTATGGTTTTATTTCATTTTTGACAACTGATTTTGATCCCCTAAGAGTGATGTCATAACACTTATAACATGTCTCTACTTTGAATTGAATATTTTATAACTGATGGACAGTACTAGGGACACAATACTGAATCAACAGTATTAGGCCCATCGAGCAATAAGACAAAAGAGGGAATCTAATCGTTATAAAAAGGAGACCAAAAAAAGTGGCCTCTGATGGCGGACACATCCGGAAATGCAAAGGCGCTAAATTTAAATTTTCCAACACTTATTAACAATAGCTATAAAATATTTTTCAGACTAGAAAGTTTTAATTAAATATTAACGATAATAGTCTAAAAAGTGACATAATTGGTAAAAAACTTCAATATAAATAAAATTTCATGTGACAGTTGGGACAAACAATAACATAACCAAACTAAATTTGACTTCTTAAACAAGGAAAGAGACTGTCTATCCTTGTCTAAAGTGGCCTCTCAAGATGGCACTTCCTGTCTATCAATATGTTTACCCCTTCTACCTTTACATTCCCTCTTTTGTCTTATTGCTCGATGATTAGGCCTAAACCAATGATTTTCAACTGTTACCAGTAGGTCCAGCCACTCAGTTTAATTTGATCACAATTGAGATCATCAGGAGGGTAGAGAATGTCTATGTTCAATCTAGAACTCACTGGTTTCTCCCTTTCGTCTTGGACATGTATATTACCATAAAAAAATAAAAGTAGAGGACTATAAATCAACTATATTAATTCAAGTAACTGTATAAAAAATTACATACATACAGAAGATTATATAAATTCCTAATATTTACAAATTAAAATATGTGTGATAAATATAAAAAAAAAACAGTACTTCATAATCCAGATAAAAGCGTTGTCAGTTATAAATGACTAATATAGCCTCAGACAAAAACTTTTTTGGTCGACGTGGCATTTGAATGAGGTAGAATTAACAAGGACAATGCAAAGTCTCTCCAACCCAATTTAAAATAGAATTTATCCAGATTTTCGAATTCTATTGGAATATCCTGCTTTCTTGTAGTTTTCTTAATTCGTCATTTCTCTTTTGCATATTTTGTAGGTCTTAGGGATGACAAATTCGGAAAAATTTTGACATTAGTGGCAAAAGATTTTGGTAGCTGTTGAAGCTACTTTTATTTAGAAAGTGTATCTTTCCTATTTATCCCATGACTGGATCTGCAAAATAATTTCTTTTTTACTTCCATACAAGCTGTAATTTAGAAACGCCTGCATCTTTTGTAAAAATATACTGTTCAGTTCATCATCTAAGTCATTAATATTTTGTGTCACCCCAATTCGTAATTGTTTCAACAGTAGTTGGTCTCACATATTGTGGGTCTATGTAAGTAAGCAATAGATCTTTATATATTGTGATCTTTTCGCTGTGCTTTGTGAAAACTACTTTATCCCTTTGTAAAAATTTATTTTATTCCACAAATTTTGGTAAGAGCCATTCCAAAAATAGATGAAGATTCTCAAATAAAAAGAAAACTTATTTTATTAAAAATATTTAAAATTTATCCAAAGGATTTCAAAACGTTTTCGCATCTGAAACATTTTAAAAGTAGTTAACACTAGCTGCAAAAATAGGTGTAATAACCTTTGGATTAATGACAATCATGGTTAATTGTAATAACATAATGACACAAGGTCGATATTACAGGATTTCACATACAGGGAACATACATTTTCCCTTCTCGAAAGGACAACTTTGTCCAACACTTAAAACCAGCCAACTGAAAGCTGGTTTAACTGTAACCTCTAAAATTTTTACTTGTTAAATATCTTTTGTACTATAAATAAAATGTTTATTAAAAAAAACCATTTTTTTTTGCAGGAACGTGGCCTTAAGTGGAAACATAAAGAAAATGCATTATTTTATTTACAACTTAATTTTGGACTGAACCATAAAATTTAAAATATAATTTCCTCCTTCTTATAGGGCTCCATTCGGTTATTCTCTTTATCCATCTGCTGTCGCTAGTTCTTCTTACATGTCCATACCACTTTAGTCTTTTTTGTTCCATATAATGTTAGTATGTCTGTTTCTATTGATGGTCTTTGCTTTATTTCGTCATTACTTCTAACCATTCTTGTTACTGTGTAGCATTTTCGCAGTCATTCCATCTCTGTTGCTACTATTTTACTGCTGTTTTTCTTGTTTATAATCCAATTTTTAGCCCATTATGTCATAATACTTCGCACTAATGTTTTATAAATCTGTGTTTTTGTCTTCATATTTAGGTGTCTATCCCACCATATTGAGTTAAGTTGTCCAATTACAGTTCTTGTTCATGCAAATATGCTTTATGGCATAATTAATTCTACAGTCTTGTGTCCTCAGCTACTTGAGCAGGTTGGTCTGCATGTACATCTCCGTAGAACACGATTAAACCAAACTTTTTATGTTCCTCCTTCACATAACCAACTATGCATATAATAATTCTTTATCTCGAGCACTAAGATGGGCAAATATTCACCCAGATCTAGATTTTTTGGCTCCGAAGGCAGAATCCATTTCTGGTCTCAGGCATTTGCTTATTTCCGTGGCTGTGGAATAGGTAATCATCAATTTGATGTGTAAAACTAAATTAAGTTTGTGATATTTATACTTTATTTTGTTTTATTGTATACATTGTAAACATTGTTAATCTTATTGGGCAGCAGCCCGTTGAAAATAAATAAATAAATAAAAGTGTAATTTCTAATTTTCATGCACTTTTATATGTACATTCAAAGTATTTTTCTGTGTAAACCTCGTCCCGCATATACTACACCCATAAGGTTTCACACCTGTATGAATTCTCGTATGCACTTTCAATGTGGAAGCTTCTCTAAATCCCCTCCCACAAAAACTGCACACATGTTTCTTCTCTCCCGTATGAATGCGCCTATGAGATGTCATGTGGGAGGAGACTTTGAATTTCTTGCCACAGATGTCGCACTGGTAAGGCCTTTCGTTCGTGTGAACTCGTTTGTGGGTTCGAACCTCGGCAGGAGATGCGAATACTTTGTTACACATTCGACATGGATGCTTCAGTGGCTTCTTTTCCCGGAATGAGTTCTACAATAAAATTATATTAAGGATATATTATTATTATTATATTAAGGATATAATATTATTATAATACGAATGAATTTATTATAATTCGGTAATAAGTAGAGCTAACAGCTTTTCTAAAGAGCTATGACATTGTAAATAGTTGTGTAGATCTAACTGGCAACATTGAAGAGGAGATGGAAGGGAAGAGGGAAGGGAACAATGCACATTTTACTTTGTAAAAATTATACTTTTTTAATAAATAAAAGATTTTGTTAACTTTTTTAGTACAATTTAATTACCTAAGAGTTAACATTCACAAAAAAGAACAAAATAGTATGTTTTTCTAAATGCAAGCTTATTCTGCCTCTAGATATAAGTGTGTTCTATAATTGAAAAGTACTGATATATTGTATCTTTTAGGTATAACTGATGCAGTAGTAAAGATGCACTGTCCCTAGTATACGATCTTATCATATCATTCTAGCAAATAATTTTATCCAGATTTTTCCTACCTGACATGATTTTTCAACTGCTGAGATACTGAAAATCTTTCCCCACATGTACTACACATGAATGGACACTCTTTAGTATGTTTAGACCTCACATGATCCTGCATTTTGACCTTTTGTGTGAAGGATTGGCCACAATCCTCGCAAATAAATTGTTGTTGATTAGTGTGCAGTTTCTTGTGTTTTATTAACGAGCTTTTATATGCAAAATATTTGTGGCAGACATTACATTGGTGCTGAAGCTTTTGTGAATGAACCTGTAATGAAGAGAGTGTATAAACATTTCTGTGAAAATTAAAAAACTTGGCGTTATTGGTAACTTTTTATATGAATAGAATATTTCTTACTGTCATATGTTGATGAACTTGTGACTTAGTTGAAAATCCTTCCCGCAAATTTCACAACCATACAGTTTTTCTCCAGTATGTTTTTTGATGTGAATCTCTAGTTTATATCTGTCATAAAATTTTAGACCACACTCATTGCATTGGTGTTTTTTTGGCACTTCAGTATGCTGCCTTAAGTGTTTTTCAAGATTACTCCGCTCAGAAAACCGTTTTTCACAAAAGGAGCAGGAATGTGTTTTTAGTCCAGTGTGTAGTTTTAAATGCCGTTTTAAAGATGCTGGGGTTTTTACTGTTTTATTGCAAATATTGCATTGATGCTTTTTAGATAAATTGTTTGTAATCTAAAAATAATGATATTAGTAAACCAGGTTAAAAATATATAAAATATTCTACACAACGTATGTTTACTGGAATACTAACTAAACAACTGACTATATCATGGTATATCTTACAGGTGTGTTTTGTATAATATTCGTAACATTATTTTCTAATTGTACAGTATTTCCGACATTATGATACAAGGAAATATCTTCTTGGTTCTGATTTTCATAGTAAACATTTTCTGTGTATGTTACTTGGGCTTTTAAAACGGCCTGTAGCAATCTATCATTTTCTAGGGCTTTATTTCTAAAGATATTAAACTGTTTTATATCTTCGAAGCAATAAGAACATATTAAATTTGGCAGTGAATCGTATTGATTGATCTGAAATGTGAACATTAACTTTTGCATAAATCATTTAAAGCTAAGAATATACTTGTAAGGTGGTGATACTTTGGACAATTTCTGCTAGATTGTCTTGAAACAAATGTTTCATCATTGGATACTCGTTTAAGCAAATTCGGCATATTCTATTTATGTTTAATTCTGGATAATTTGTTTCCATTTTGGGCCTACAAAATATTACACCTGTGTTGTCAAAAAAACAAACAATAACAGAATAACACCATAACAAAAGTGAAGTTGGCGATAATTCACAACTAAACAGAGGTGGATCGTTTTTATATACCGGGTGGGTGAAACGCCAAACGGTCCATAGGAAATTCAATGGAAAATTCTAAATTGTTAAATTCCTGCT